CACCTTTCCGAAGTCCCAAGCCACTGTCTTCCCAGGGAAGGGGGAGGGGGCTCCTAGCAGGCCCATCCCTCCCCAATCCCCGATCCTCCTCTTCCCTCCCCTCCATGCCCTTCCCTAAGCAGCTGGCTCAATCAGCGCTCAGAATAGCCCCCCTCTCCGCCCCAAAATAACCCACAGCTGTGGCCTGGCCCCCGCGGGGTTAACCCTGCTTCTCCCCTCCCTCCCCTGTGGCATCTCACCCCTTGGTACCTCCTCTGCCTCTCAGACCTACCCCCGCCTGGCCTGTGCTTTTGGGGACCCCACAGCCTTTCTTCCTGCTGAGGTCAGTCAGATTGGGGCTCCAGCCCCACCCTTCTCTGGAGGCTGGAGCGCAGTCCTTTCCTATAAGGAGTTTGGGAGGGCAGCCTCCCCACCTCAGGGACTGAGGAGTGGCACCCCCTGCCATCCAGTCCTCTGGAGGTCCAGGCCTCCAATCTCCACCACCTCGAGTCCTGGTTTCCACTTTGCTCCACAAGGGGCTAAAGAGGCTGGACCCCCATTCCTGGCCCACCAGGAGCCTGTGCTCAAGCCTAGCCCTTCCTTCCCCTGTCACAGGAGCTGCCCTCCAACTTCTCCTGTGAAGACTCGGGCTGGTCACAGCCCCCAACAACCCCAGCACTCTAGAGTTCCACTGTTCATCCCAGGACACAGGAGTCTTGGCTCCCAGCTCTGTCCTCCCTTAAGGACCCCCTTTTTGTCTCATTCTCCTCAGTCCCAACATTCTGGATGTCCCCCAGCTCCCACTTCTCCAGTTGGCCCCCCATACATGGCACATCCTGTCCCCGAGCTGCTGAGGAGGAGGGTGCCAGAGATTCCTGGGGTGTCCCTGTCTCCATGGTCCTCCCACCCTCACGGAAGAGAAGAGAGGCCACTTTGATCAACAGCTCCCCCCACTCAAGTCGTGCTGCAGCTGGCGTCCCATCTCCCCCCCTCACCCTACCACACACACACACAACCCCGGGTCTTTCCACCCCAATCCTGGGGCTGGCAAGAGGCTGGAAGGACATTCCAGAACCTAGAGGAAGGGGTGGTAGCTTGGGATGAGGGGTACTGGGGGCCTGGATGCCCTCAAGGTCCTTGGCAGGAGTATTAATAGCAGACTCATAGCTCTGAGGTGGGAGGGGAGAGCGAGAGGAGAGAGGGAGAGGGACGGCCAGCAATGGGGGAGACCGATGCGGGGAGCAGGGAGGGGGGTGCAGACAAGGTGACATGAGGAAATGGAGGGATGGAGAGAGATATGGTGTGTCAGGTATGTGCAGCTGGGCAGATGAACAAAGTGTCAAAAGAAATGGGCTTGGGAGGTCTAGGGGTGGAAACCCAGGCAAAAGGGGCTCAGGGAGGGAGAAAGAGAAGGGCAAAGGAGAGTCCCCGAGGGACAAGGGATGTGGGGGCAAAGACCCTTGCTTTCTGTTCAAGCTCCTTTCTTCCAAAAGGCCCCTGGCCAACTTTCCCTGTCCTAGATTTGGGGGTCTACTTCCCCACCCCCACCCCTGCATCCCCTGGCCCAACCTTACCTTTTCATGACCCTGTTCTGTGGGGGAAATTGCAGGGGGGCCAGGACCGGAACCGATGTCCAGCGACCCGAAGATTCCACGGAGGGCTCAGGGAGCCGATGGGGTTTGGGGGGGGCCAGGCCCCGGGGCGGTGGCAGCAGCAGCAGCAGCAGCAGCAGCAGCAGCAGCAGCGGTGGGGACCTCTTGCCTGCCCCTGCTTCTGTCTCTCCTTCCTCTTCCTTGATCCTGCCCTGCCCTGTCTGTCCCCCAAGGTTGCGGCCACCCGGACTAGGCGAGGACGAGGCTACACATGTTGCACTGGAAGTTGGGCCCCGGACATTGCAGAGGCTGTTGGGGTGTCCTCTTGCGGCCTGACCCCATGGGGGATCCCCTCCACCCTCCCAGGGTGCCCCCCTTTGCTGCTTCAGCCCCCGCTCCTGCCTCAGTCCATGTGTCCCATCCCGCCTTTCCTTGGTTTATTCGTACCCCCCCTTTGTGCCCTCAGCATCTCCCCCCCACACACCCCATGTCTGTGTCTGTCTGTCTGTCTGGGTCACCTCTGAGGCTGGTGGCTGGTGCGTGTGTGTTTGTGTGAGAAGCAGGAGATTGCCAGTCTGGGGAAACTGCTGGCCCCTTCTTCGCTTGGTCACCTCCAGACCCCCCCTCGGCACCCTCACTCTCAAACACACACATACACACAGGCACACATGCACAATCTCACTTCTCTGGGATTTCCCCTCAACACCCCCGGAGGGAGACACACGCGCACACGCACACACACATACACACACGCAGGGGTCCAATGGGGGCCCCCGCTGCCACTGCCGTCAGGGGCTTTTTGGACAGACAGGAGGACACAATCAGCCGGGGACACCCAGACGCCCAACCGGACGCAGGCAGGAGGCACAGAGCCTAGGTGCACACCATCCATCCAGGTTTGGGGGCTCAGGATATGGGGTAATGGGTGGCCCACAACATGCAGGCAGGCAGCTTAGGGTCTATACAGACAGACAGACCCCTCCTCCCTCAGCCGCTGCAGCCTTTCTAGACACACCCCCCCCCACCAGCCAGCCCCAGACACCCGGACGCACATCCTCACCGGGCAGATGGCCGTCACACGAGAGACCCCTGGGGGCCGGGCGGACCCACCCAGACCGACACCCTCCGGCTGGGCGCCAGTGGCCGAGGGAGGCTGCGGGTCGGAGGGTGGCGGCGGCGGCGGCGGCGGCTTGCAGGAGCCGGAGCGGGAGAGACTCGCACACTCGCTCTGTTCTCGCATACACACTCACTCGGGTTGCGATTAACATTCAGTCCCCGTCCATCCCTGCCAGGAGACCCACAGCCCCCCCTCCTGGCCTCCCTAGGGACCCCTCCTCCTTCCAGGGCTGGGGGCCTCTGCCTTCCTCCTGGGACGCGGAAGTGAGGGGCTGCAAATAAAAGGGAGGAGGCAGGGGGTGGGAGACATTAGCTTCCGACCTGGATTCCAGGGCTGGGGTACATCTCCCCATTTTGAGGCTTGGGAAGTTCTATCTTAGTGTCTACCACAGAAGACCCACTCTGTGGCTTCTGTTTCCTCAGTGGCCACATATGCAAACGAGGTCTCCATCATGAGCCAGGAGTCCAGGCTCCAGCCCTTCTCCTCCCTCAGACCCAAGGGTCCAGTGTCACCCCTTCTCCCTCAGACCCAGGGGTCCAGACCTCAGTCCTCTTCCCTCAGGCCCAGGGGTCCAGACCCCAGCCCTCCTCTCTGAGACCTGGGAATTCAAGATCTCAGTCCTCCTTCCTCACACCCTTGGGTCTAGGAACCCCTTCTTTACTGGGTCCCAGGATTCTGGTGGCTCTTCTACAAGCCTGGGTCCCTTTAAGTGTTTTGGTATGCGGACTGTCCCAAGACAAAACATCCTCTGGAGGTCAGACTCAGAGATATAACCATGGGCACACATTCCACTTCAGCCTCTCAGGAAATGCCCAGCACCCCTTCTGACTGAGGGACTACAGTCTCCAACACCCATGGGTGCTGAACTTCTAGAAAGACAGCCGTGTTTGCTATGTGACAGACACAGCAGTCCAGACTCCAGGTCCCCTAAGGGCACATGTCCACTCACCTTGCCCCTGCAGTGCAGTCCCCAGCACTGCTGTGAAACCCCCACCCAGTTCTATTCTATCGTGGAGTGTGGTGTGCAATACATGGGCCCCTGAGGATGGAGACTGGGAGAGTGTTGGTGTGGTGTCATGTGTGTTGTGTGTGAGATGTGTAGAGTGTGTGTGGTGTGTTGTGTGTGTGTATGTGGCATTGTGTGTGGGTATGTGTTGTGTGTGAGATGTGTAGAGTGTGTGTGGTGTGTTGTGTGTGTGTATGTGGCATTGTGTGTGGGTGTGTGGCATGTGTGAGATGTGTAGAGTGTGTGTGTGTGTGTGTGTGTGTGTGTGTGTGTGTGTGTGTGTGTGTTGGGGGAAGAATTTTGAAGCAGGGGCTGGAGGCAGGCCTCTGAGCTCCCAAAGTAGTCTAATCCAAGTTTTCCCCTCGAGGCCACTGGGTTAAGACTCCATCATTTCTACTGTCTGGGCAGGGCATACAGGTGAAGGCACACATTCCTGAAAAAAGAGTTTGGGGTCTGAATTTTGGGGTTTTAGGAGAAAGAAGGGATTGTGGACTGTGGATCCAGATTCCTAGGGTTACAATGCTTTTGCCAGGGCTGGGGGCATGGGTGTGGCTCAAGTGATAGAGTGCCTGAGTTCAAACCTCAGTACTGCAAAACAAAAACAAAACAAAAATAAAACCAAGAAAGAAAGAAGGAAAAAACATGTTAGCCATAAAATGGTTGGGGTAGGACCCTAAATTGGGAGGACCAGTGCCTGGACCCCCTGGGTTTGAGGGTGGACTCTGGGGTCTGGACCCCTGGGTCCGAGGGAGGAGGGTTGGGGTCTGGATTCCTGGCCTGAGGGAGGAGGGATTGTTTTCTTTTGGGTGGTTGGGGTTGAAAGCCTCTGAAAGGGGCAGAAAGAACCCAGTTGCCTGGCTTCTGCATCTCCAGGATATTTCTTGTTTCTCTTTTTGTTTCTTTTGGGATAGGGTCTCACTATGTAGGTCACAGTGAACTCGCGTTGAACTCTGGATCCTCTTGTCTTAGCCTTCCTAATTACTGGGATACAGGAGTGTAACGCCTCTCCTGGCTTCCAGGATCTTTAAAAAAGTCAAAGGCCAACCTCCTGAATCCCTGTGGCTGGGCGGCTCTTCTCTGTCCTTTGTAGAGACACACACAGACAGCCTTGGGGTAGCAGGTGGGATTGGGAGTAGTATGGGAACCTAACGACCCATGCCTCATAAGAGGCAACCTGCAGTGCGTTGGGTTCCGGGTGTGCAATGCCAGAGGTGGGAGAATAGGGGGAGCCCGAGAGCCGAGACCCCGCCCCCGGGGTGGGTGGAGCCTCCCAGCGCAGCCTCCTCCCCCTCCCGCCCTCCTCCCTCTTCCCGGCTGTAGGTCCGCCGCCAGCTCGGGCCTTGGCTCCCCCTCCCAAAGCCCCCTTCCCGGAGCAGAGCCCACCGCACCGCAGGGTCCCTGTCCCGTCCCTCAGCCCAGCCGCCCAGCAGAGCAGCAGCCCCGGGGCAGCCACCGCCACCCCACCTCCTTCCAGCTCAGCCCTTCCAGAACCCCCTTCCTATACTCCCATATACACACACCACCCCGACCCCAGCCATGAATCTCTTCCGATTCCTGGGAGACCTCTCCCACCTCCTGGCCATCATCTTGCTTCTGCTCAAAATCTGGAAGTCCCGATCGTGTGCCGGTGAGAGAGGCCCACCCGGCCGTGGAGAAGGGGGTAGACTGCGGGGGGCGGGGGAGCCCCAGGACTGGGGGAAGGGAAGGATTGGGGAGCGCTAGAGGTCAGGTTCCTCTCCCCCCCCCCCACTGCTTGCTGGAGATTCCTCTTCCAGGTCCGGGGTCATCAGGGGGTCAGCTCTCTTCCCCAGATTAGGGAGTGCATACAGTTTGGTAGGGATGGCCCCAGAACCCTCACACCCCTCACCCCCCATACACACCCCCAGTTCAGCCTTGAGCAGCCCAGATCTCTGCAGCCCTGGGCATTCTGGGGCTGGGAACCAGGAGCCATGACAGGCCGGGAGGTGGCTGGGAGTTGGTGACGTGGACCATAGTGGCCAGGAAGGGAGCTGGAGAGAGGTGACTGGTTCCTGGGGAGAGAGGTGGCTGAGGTCAGCCAGGGTCCTCTGTGGTCTGTCTCTCCCTTTGGGTGCAGACTATGGGAAGACCCTGTGGGGGTCAGGGGTGGCCTCCAGGCCTAGCCGGGGATGGAGCCTCGGGCTGGAGTAGCTTTGGGGCGGGCTGCCCCCTGGCTGTGGGCCGTGGGAAAGGGCCCTGCTCCAGAGGCAGACCGGAGGCCTCTGGGGACAACTGTGCTCCAGAACTGCCTGCAGTTGGGTCCCAGCACCTGGGCTCAGTTTGTGATTGTAGCCCATGCAGCCCACTGCCAGCTTGCTCCTACTCTCTCTCTGTCTGGACCACAGGGATTTCGGGTAAGAGCCAGGTCCTGTTTGCTGTGGTGTTCACTGCCCGCTACCTAGACCTGTTCACCAACTACATCTCACTGTACAACACGTGCATGAAGGTAAAGGATCCTCTGCCTCCCTTGGAGCAGGGGAGGGTGCAGGGAAGGTGCAGGCGGTGTGGCCCTGGACCCCTGGGTCTGAGGGAGGAGGGCTGGGGCTGGACCCCTGGGTCTGAGGGAGGAGGACAGGGGTCTGGACCCCTGGGCCTGAGGGAGGAGAGCTGGGCCTGGACCCCTGGGTCTGAGGGAGAAGGTTGGGCCTGGACCCCTGGGTCTGAGGGAGGAGGCTGGTGCCTGGACCCTTGGGTCTGAGGGAGGAGGACAGGGGTCTGGACCCCTGGGTCTGAGGGAGGAGGGCTGGGGTTTGGACCTTTGAAGGCAGAGAGGCTGGGGACTTCAATTCCTGGACCACACTCCCTGCTCCGTGAGCTGAGCACACTGTAATCTTCCCCTCACCAGGTAGTCTACATAGCCTGCTCCTTCACCACAGTCTGGATGATTTACAGCAAGTTCAAAGCCACTTACGATGGGAACCATGACACTTTCCGGGTGGAGTTCCTTGTTGTCCCCACAGCCATCTTGGCGTTCCTGGTCAATCACGACTTCACCCCTCTGGAGGTAGGCTGCTGGCAGGGTCCTGCAGTGGTGAGATGGTTGTGATAGAATGGCTGCTGACTGCTGGCCCTCTCAGATGCTTCCTTCTATAGGAAGTTTGAAACTTCCCTTTTGAAGACCTAACAGATGATGTTAAGGCAACAGCTGGAGCAGATACCCATTTTACAGATGGCCAAACTGAGGCTTAGGGGATCTGAATGTCACTGGCCTAGTAAATACCAGATCCAGCAGCTCAGGGGTGGGGAGCAGGGAGCAGGGGACTTTGGAGCTAGGCTGCTTGGATTTGAATCTTTTTTACTATGTTGCCCACGCTGGCCCTGGACTTTCAGTCCTCGTGTGACGATGACAGTAGTGCGTCAGCATGTCCAGCAGGACCTGCTCTTTTCTATTAGTGTGAATCTGGGCTTGAGAGTTCATGGCCCCATGCCTCAGCTTCTCCACTGTAAAGTTGAGACGGGGCATTGTGAGTGCTTACTGAGGTTTTGCAGAGTGGTCTAGTGATTGAACACACAGAGACTCTAGAGCCAGGGTGCAGGGGATCAAAGCCGACTTTTTTACTTAGCAGAAGTGGGACTGTGCCTCAGTTTCTTCATCTGTAAAATGGGGATAGTCAGTTCCTACCTCATAGGGTCCATTTTTTGGGGGTAGGGGAAGGGAGGAAGTTTGTGGGGTTGAAACCCAGGGCCCTGTGCACACTAAGCTACACCCCAGGCCCCTCATACGAGTCTAATGAGGGGGTCGATGTTCATAAAGCAGTGTCTGGCATGATGTGGGAAGTGCCATGTCAGCATTTGTTGAGTGACTGATGTGTTTTTTATCTCCATTTCATGATTTTGTATCCCATGGCATTTTGGTGGGGCCTAAACACCCAGGAGGAATTTTGGGAGGGCCAGTGCTAAGTCTATGAGCTCCTTTCTCCTGGGCATAAACATAAATAATAGATTCTGAGCAACCTTCCCTCCCCAGGCCCATTCCTGCCCTGCGGGAAGCTAGCATCAGTGGACAGATGTGCCAGTGTTTTTATCCGAAGCCCTAATTCAGGAGCTGTCAGACAAGATCTCATTTTCAAATTTTGGCCAGAATCAATACATATATATATATATATATATTTCTTTTTCTTTGTTCTTTCTTTTTGGTGGCACTGGGGTTTGAACTCAGGGCCTCCCACTTGCTAGGTAGGTGCTCTACCACTTGAGCCACATCCCCAGTCCTCTTTGTTTTGTTTTGTTTTGGTGGGACTGGGGTTTGAATTCAGGGCTTCATCCTTGCAAGGCAGGTACTCTACTACTTGAGCCACAGTCCCAGTCTATTTTTGCTCTGGTTATTTTGGGGATGGGGTTTCATGAACTGTTTGCCCAGGTGGGCCTCGAACCTCCATCTTCCTAATCTCTGCCTCCTAAATACTAGGATTACAGGCATGAGTCACTAGTACCTGGCTCCTGGCCCTCTTTAAAAAAAAAAAAAATTTTTTTTTTTTGACACAAGGTCTTGTTATGTAGCCCAGGCTGACCTAGAACTTGCAGTCCTCCTGCCTCATTCACCTGAGTTCTGGGATTAAAGATGTACACCATCATGCCCAGCTGAAAGTGTATCTCTAAAAGTCCTGTGCAGGCCAGACAAATCTCACAGTGGGTGGCTATGGCCCGTGGGTTGCCAGAAATGCCAGAGGGGAAGGCTAATCATGCCCTGCTGGGACTCAAGTCCCTGACTTGTTCCTTCAGAGAGCCCTGCTCTGAGCCCTTGACGTAATTCGTAATCACCCTGCCAAGTAGGGTGAACAGGACCCACCTTAGATGGGGAGACTGACTTTGAGACTGAGGGCAGCAGAGACGTTTGCTTAAGATGGAGGGGGCTGGACCAGGACTCAGGCTTCTTTTATAAGAAAGTAGGGTCTTGCTAAGGCTGGACTTGAACTCTCAGCCCTCCTGAACTCCAGCCTTTCTGGTTCCGTCATTCAGGGGGGTGAGGTCACTTGTGTGAAGTATCATCATCAACTGTATGCCTGGTTCCAAGGGGCTCATGCTAAACCTGTGACCATCCTGTGAGCTCTACCTCCCCCCAGGGAAACAGAAGTCCTCATCTCTAGTTCCCTGAGGACTGAGGTGGGCTTAGAGGAGAGGGCACAGGATTTGAACCCAGGGCTGTTTGTTTTCAGAGCCTGTGCTAGTAAATGTCATATGCTAAAAAAATAATTTTTTTTTTGGTGGGACTGGGGTTTGAACTCAGGGTTTTCTGTTTGCAAAGCAGGCGCTGTACCACTTGAGCTATACCTCCAGTCCATTTTGCTCTGGTTGTTTTGGAGATGGGGGTCTCATATAAACTATTTGCCTGGGCTGGCCTTGAACGATGGTCCTCCCTATCTCAGCCTCCTAAGTAACTAGGATTACAGGTGTGTCACCAGTGCTTGGCTTTAAAAAAAAGTTAATCATAGAAGGAAAATAATTAAATATTTCAAATATCACAAAGCCAGGCAAGGTGGTGCACACCTGTAATCCCAGCACTGTGGAGACTGAGGCAGGAAGATTGCAAGTTCTAGGCTAGCCTGGGCTATATAGTGAGATCCTGGTTCAAAAAAAACTGAAAAGAAAAAAAAGAAGAAAATTAGCTATCACAAAACAGATAAAATAATGTACAACAGACCTTACACTTCCTCCTGTGGTTCTGTTGTCCAAGGGAAGCCCTGGGGGTGAGAGTGGGGTGTTCATCAATTTAATGGGTATATTTCCTGAGAGCCTCAGCAAACCTGGCTGCTAAGGGCCTCCTGGAGGATTCTGGGTGGTTAAGGGAGCAGTTCCTGGGGTCCAACTGCCCAGGTGGCCATCTGGTGTGACCCTGGACAAATTACTTAGTCTTTTGGCCTCAGTTTGCTTATATGTGTAATGGGGTTATCAGGACTTACCTTATTGATTTAAGGCATAAGCAAATACTGGTGTTTCTCATTTCCTCTGAACAAGCCACAGCTGCCACCTGGATTTATTCTGTGAGGGGAAGGTTTCAGGGTGTCTTGTGGATCACAAATCACCCCAGGTGGGACTTTCAGAGAGCTAGGGACTGAAAAGGAGCTGGCAGATGGCTGTAGTGTCTTCCTCCCTGTCTTGTGATGGCCTGTTCTGCTTCCTTGGTGGCAGCCATTGACATGGGACTCCTGTTAGAGCTGCTCAGTCCTGTGGCCTTCCTTGCTTTCACATCTAGGGACTGTGCTAGGTGCTGGGGTCTAGGGTGCGCAAGACACAGGATCCCACATCTTACCAAGCACTCATTCCAGCGAGAGGAGTGAGGAAGGGGATAAGACAGGACTTGCCCAGTGTGGTGAGCCTGTAATCCCAGCACTTAGGAGGCGGAAGCAGGAGGATCTAGAATTCTAGGCCAGCCTAGGCTACATAGCTAGACCTTGTCTCAAAAACCCAAACACACAAACCCCAAAAGACAGGGTGATGTTACAGTCCTGAAGGAAGGGTGATCGGGGGGGCCTCTTTCAGGAGGCACTGAGGTCAAAGGATATGAAGAAGGCAGACATGTGGCCATCTGAGGGAGAGAGCTTTCCCTGCTGAGGCAATAGCATGTGTAAAGGTCCTGAGGCAGACAAAGTGTGGGGGGTGTCGGAGGACCAGCTAGATGGTTCAGGGAGGTGCAGCCCAGAGATGAAAGGGAGAGAGAAGTAGATGAGGTTGGTCTGGGAGGGCCTTGATGGCCATGGTCAGGAGTTTTGTCTTTTTTTTTTATGGGACTGGGGTTTGAACTCAGGTCTTCATGCTTGCAAAGCAGGTGTTCTACCCACGTTCCAGTCCATTTTGCTCTGCTTTTTTTTTTTGTTTGTTTTTTTGTTTGCGGCACTGGGGCTTGAACCCAGGACCTACACCTTGAGCCACTCCACCAGCCCTTTTTTGTGATGGTTTTTTTTTTTTTTTTTTGAGATATAGTCTTGAGAACTATTTGCCCGGCCAGGTTGGCTTTGAACCTTGATCCTCCTGATCTCTGCCTCCTGAGTAGCTAGGATTACAGGCGTGAGTCACTGGTGCCTGGCTGTTCTGGTTATTTTGGAAATGGGGGACTTGAGAACTGTTTGCTCAGGCTCGTTTCAAACTGCTAACCTCTACTGTGCCTGCCTAGATTTGGGATTTTATTGTGGCAGTACAAAGAAGTCACTGAAGTTTTTTTTTTTTTTTTTTTTTTGGGTGGTACTGGGGTTTGAACTCAGGGCCAAATACCTGCTATGCTGGCACTCTACCATTTGAGCCACTCCACCAGCCCTTTTTCCTTTTTCTTTTTTTGTGTTGGGCATTTTCAAGATAGGGTCTTGTGATCTATTTGCCTGGGCTGACTTGAAACCATGATCTTCCCCATGTCTATCTCCCAAATAGCTAGGATTACAGGTGTGAGTCACCCCACCTGGGTTTTTACTGTGGCGGCAGTAAAGAAGTCAGTGAAGATTTTTAAGCCAGCAGACGTGGTGTGTTTTAAGTCTGTAAAGGTCACACACTGAATGATACCCATGAGCAGGAAACCACAGAGGCTTGGAGAACCTGGGAGCCTTACATTAGGTACATAGCAGGGAAACTCCAAGGCAAGGTTCCACCCTGTCTGCCTTTATTCCAATTTGTTTATATAATTATTATTGTCATTATTGTCATACTGGGGATCGAATCCAAGGCCTGTCGCATGCTAGGCAGACGCTCTACCACTTGAGCCACACCTCCTGCCCCTGAGTCTGTATAATCCAAAGTGCTCACGAGTGCCAGCTCCACATCCAGTTCCCTCCCTCCTGCTTACTAGCTATGTGGTCTGTTTCCTCTGAGACCTTCCTTCTGGAGAAGGGGGCTATGGTAAGGATCAAATGATCTACTGGTAACCTGGACAGGAGGTTGTGAGGTGTGTGCTGAGCACCTGGGATGACTTCACTGTGCTGATAACTGAATGCCACCCTCCCTCCCGCCCTGTCCCCTCCACCCTGCACTCCCCCCACCTTCCTGCAGATCCTCTGGACTTTCTCCATCTACCTGGAGTCGGTCGCCATCTTACCACAGCTGTTTATGGTAAGCAAGACAGGAGAGGCAGAGACCATCACCAGCCACTACCTGTTTGCGCTGGGCGTGTACCGCACGCTTTATCTTTTCAACTGGATCTGGCGTTACCACTTCGAGGGCTTCTTCGACCTCATTGCCATCGTTGCTGGCCTAGTCCAGACGGTCCTGTACTGCGATTTCTTCTACCTCTACATCACCAAAGGTAACAGGGATGTGGGGATGGTTGGAATGAAGCCTGACACTCTCCTGCCCAGGTTACCAGTAGATCATTTGATCCTTACCACGGCTCCCTTCTCCATATGAGGAAACTGAGACCATGTGGCTAGTAAGCAGCAAGGTGGGGACTCTAAACGGAGCCAGCACTTGTGAGCTCATCCCCTGAGGCAACAGCAAGTGCAAAGGCCCTGAGGCAGGAAGAAGTGTAGGGTGTTAGAGGACCAGATAGACAGCTCAAAGGATGCGGCCTATACAGCAAGAGGTGGGAGGAGGAGATACAGGCCTCCCTCAGCCCTGTCTCTCTCAGGGGAGGGCTTCCTCTCCTGGCCCACTGCCCCCTAGGAAATCAGACCTCCTGGCCCTGCCTCCCTAAGAACTAAGAAGTTTCTGTCTACAGTGTCCTCCTTCAAGTGGAGTCCAGGCCAGAGAGGGACTATGATTCACAGAGATTCATTCATTCATTCAATAAACTTATTGAGAGCCTTCTGTGTTTCTCACCAGGCTTGAGGCTATGGGACTGCCATAGTAGGAGAAAAGATGGCTTAGGACCTCCCCTCTTTTCATGTCCTTGTGGTGGTTCATGAACAAGTAAAGAAAGAGAATTAGTTGAGCTTGGTGGTGCATGCCTGTAATCTCAGTTATTTGGGAGGCAGAGGTAGGAGGATCATGAGTTCCAGGCCAGGTTGGGCAAAATTAGCAAGACCCTCTCTCAAAAACAAAGTATAAAGAAAAAGACAGGGTGTGTCTCAGCGGTAGAACATTTGCTTAGCGTGTGTGAGGCTCCATGTCCCATCCCCACTACTGTGAAAAAGAAAGGAAGAGAAGCAGAAGGAAGTGTTGGGGGTGTTGGAGAGAGAGAGAGAGAGGAGAATTGCCAGTGGTAAGAGGACCAATGAAGAGAAACAGGACCTCCTTTCAGCCTCCCTTAGGATGAGGCCAGGATCCCTGGCCTCACCCCTCTGGTGATCTAGGCTGAACCCCTTAATTTAGGATGCATAGTTCTGGGGGCCATCCCTCCCCATGTCTGCCCAACCCTACTCCTTTCTGTAGGGCCCTGAGGGTAAGACTCACCCTGTCTTTCTGTTCCTTCACAGTCCTGAAGGGGAAGAAGCTGAGTCTGCCGGCATAGCCCTGGCCCTTGCCAGCCCTCTCCGTGACAGGGTGGGAGGCAGAGGAAAGTGACAGAAGACAATGAGCCTTCCTGTCCAGGGGAGACTTTTTAAAGGTCCCATCTCTCCCCGTTCCCCACACCCCTCCTGCCGGGTTTCGGGGGGGCAGTGGAGGACCCATGTCTTGGGGAACTCAGGACCTGGGCTGTTTGTAGACCTTTGCCTTTTAGAAAAACAAAAAACAAATCTTTCCATTCTTTAGTTTTTGACTCTGATGACTTGTTTCTCTTCAAATTCCGACCCCAATTTTTATAAACTGTTTTCGAGTGTCCTCCGGGCTGGGGCAAGGGCCAGAAATCTTTTCCCTTCCCCCAAGTCTCTTAGCCTCCTTCCAGATCCTTCCCCCAAGCCCCCTGGATGCCAAACACTACATCTGCTGATGCTTACCTCCCGTCATGGCCGGGACCACAGCCCCTCTACCCCACAAGTTTCTAGTTTGAAGATAAAGGGGGAGAGGGGAGGGCAACAAAGGTCTCCCCTGACTTTTACATAATAATTTTTGCTCAGAAAAATTATTGGGGGTTTTTGAGTCTTATCCTGATTTTTGACAAATTAGGGGGAGCTCTGGGCGCAGGTGTGGGAAGGGCGCTGGCCCGAGGGTCACCATAGCTCTAACGCCATGTTTTTGTACAGAATTTGAGGTTGATTCTTTGTTCTCTTGAAATAAACAGAGAAAAATGGTACCTCTCCTTTGCTGCTTGTTGCCTCCTCTCTGGTATGTGTGGTCCTGTTCTGGTCCTCATCCCTCTGCGTTTGCTTTTGGACCATCCTGGGGCGGGCAGGTGACCAGAGGTCTGGGAGGAACAGGAAGAGGAAAAATGGGGTTTCTTGGAGTCTCAGATGCACTCTGATTCTTCATGGCTCCACTCGGGAAAGAGCTTTTAGAGAAAATCTTTTTTTTTGCTTTTTTGTTTTTTAGACAAATCTTACACATTCTTTTTACCTTAGTGTAGAAACTACCTGACTGTTCTCCAGCCACTCAGGGCTGGGGTGAGCCTTTAAGACCATGGATGTTGGAGGCCACAAACAGGCAGCCCCCAGCCCACCTTCAATTAGTATTTCATTGCATGTTTTCTGAAAAAAGGAAAAAAAAAAGGGGATGGGGGTGTCGCCAACCTTTTAAAACCAGATTTTCACATTAAAGTTTGCATTTCTGGCTTTTCTTAAAGAAATCTTGTCAGTCTGTCCATGTTAGGTTCTCGTTTCTGGGTAGCAGCAGATGGCTGGGGCTGAATGCATGGGAGGCAGGCGTTTCACCCCAGTCCCTGGATTTGGCTACTGGGGTTGTTATCATCTATTACCAAACTGACAACATGTGTTTTGTTTGTGTGTTTGTAGTTAAAAGGCAAGTGAACTATTTCCAGTTCTCTCCAGATTGGCTCCGCACCTGGCCTGCTTCCTACCCTTCTGTTTCTTGCCTTGCTTTTGGAAGCATCTGGATTTTTGACCCTTGGTTTAATCAAACTTTTTGTATCTCCTGGAGACCTTCTGAACTCTTAACAGCTTTCGGTTCTCCTGTAGGAGCAGGCAGAGGGCTGGCGTTTCCAGAGCATTTAACAGGTGCCAGGCCCCATATGTCACGTGCGTGTGTTCATTTGACCCGGAGGTCCCTAAAGATGGTGGCTTATTTTTTATTTATTTGGGGTGGTGTTTTTGGCAGTATTGGGGTTTGAACTTGGGGCCTCATGCTTGCCAGGCAGTCACTCAACCACTTGGCCACACCCCTCAGCCCTTTTTGGCATTATTTTCCCCACAGGGTCTCATGCTTTTTGGCCCAGACTGATCATCCTTCATATGCCTCCCGCATAGCTGGGATCACAGGCATGTACCACCATGTCTGGCCCTCAGTATGTTTCGTTTTGTTTTTGTTTTGTTTTGTTTTGGTCACTTTTTTGTCTCTTTTAAGTCAAGGAAACCTGTTTAGAATTTTGCCTGGAAGCCTGATTCGGAGAACACAGGAGCAGGGCTGTTGGGTGGACTGTGGGGTGGGAATGGCGTCCCCACCTATGAGGCTGTGAGGCATGTCTTTGAACTGGAGAAATTCTTTAGTTGTATGTCCAGCATAGCTGGGCCCAGAGAAATCGAGTGACACCGTTATCTGGCTGGTGACAGAGTAAGGAGCAGAGCTTAGAGCCTTCCCTTTCCTGGATCAGAGTGCTTTCTGTCCCACTGCACTGCTGCCTTTTTCTCTAATGTCCACAGGGACTGCACCCCATTTATCTCTGTACCTCCAGAACTGAACACAGGGCTTCAAAACAAAACAAAACAAAACAGGACCAAGTGAGTCTGAGCCCGGTGGCTTGCACCTGTAATCCCAGCTACTTGAGGGATGGAAATCAGAAGGATTATTGTTCCAGGCCAGCCTGGGCAAAACAGTCTACAAGATTCCACCTTGCCCAATAAAGCCGGGCATGGTGGCACATGCCTGTCATCCCAGCTATGTGGGCAGTATAAATAGAGGATGGAGATCCAGGCTGGCCTGAGCATAAATGCAGGACCCTATTGGAAAAATAAGTAAAAAGTGGCGCAAGCAATAGAGCACCTGCCTAGTAAGCACAAGGCCCTGAGTTCACACCCCAGTGCCACCAAAATAAAAGGTGGGTGGGATAATGGAACCCAAATTTGACTCCACACAACTCATATCCTTTTCCAGTTTATAAACAAGGGCTCTTCAGGCTGCTGTGATCGGTGCAGGTGTGTTTTTTTTTTTTTCCTTTTTGGTATCTATTGTCCATTAATTTCACATTTAAGAAAAGCCACAAAAAAAGAAAAAAAAAAGAAAAGCCACAAACCAAATGTTCAATGGTTCTAGAGACACCAGGAGGTTCTAGAGCTGCACTGTTTGGTTGGGTGGGTGACCACTGGAATGTGGCGAATCTGAGACAAGGTACACTGTCAGATAGACAACAGATTTCAAAACTCAGGATGGAAGAGTGTAAAAATGCCACACAAATGATTTTCAGTGCAGCATGTGGCAGTGTATGCCTTTAATCCCAGCACTTGGGAAGTGGAGGCAGGAGGATCTTGAATTTGCAGCCAGCCTGGATTACATAGTGATTTATCTCAAAAAATAAAAAAGATCATTTTCATACTGATTACATGTTGAAATGGTAATGTTTTGGATATATAGGGTTAAATAAAACATATTTAAATTAATCCTTTTTTTGAGGTACTGGGGATTGAACTCAGGGTTTAGTACATGCTAGGCAGTCGCTCTATCACTGGAGCCATGCCCCCAGCCCTTCTGCTTTCAGTTTGTTTTTCAGGTAGCCTCTCATGTTTAGACTGCCTTCGAACCATGATCGTCGTACCTCTCCTCCTGAGCGGCTGGGATACAGGCGTGAGCCACCACGTCCAACCCTCATTTCCTTTCTTTAATGTGATTTCAATTAGACAGTACTGTTCCAACATCCCCAGGCACCACAGCCGGATGGCCCATGGAGGTTGCCCCTTCCAGACAAGGCCCTTGTCGCTGCCACAGCCTTAAAAGGTACTCCCCCAACTCGGTTACCTGGCCAGCCCCTACAGGCAGGAGCATGTGTGACCTGTACCCCTGTCCCTCATGACCATGGGCGTCTCCTAGAGTAGAAATCCTTTCCTCTTCTCCAGGATGGACTTTGATATCCATGGAGACAAAGATCTCCCTGGCCTCAGCATCCCTCTCCCTTCACCAGCCCCTCACAGCATGGTTTTGTATTGAGTCTCTTGTCACTGTGGTGAGTGAAAGGACCTTGGCTTTGATGGCCTGGGGCTCATTGTCCCACTGTCGGCCTTCATTCTTGTTGACTCTCTCTCTCTCCCTGGGTGCAAGCATTTTCTCCCTCTGAACTTCCGTGTCCTCAGCTGTAGGATGAGGCTGTGTGTGCCTCCCTCCCTTGGCTAGCGTGCGGCACAAGGAGCAGTGACTCCATGCCTCCCAGGCCTGAAAAACCACTTCCTGCTTCCCACCACCTTGGATCTGCCAAAACAAACGTGGTGCCTGAGGGTGGCACAGAAATGTGGAGCCCCACGAGGTCTCCCACCTCCCTGGGGGTCACTCAAGGAATGAGAGGAACAAACATGAGGACAGGGTTGTTCAGAAACCCATCTGGAGGGAGGATATCTCTTTACTGATGTGGAAGGACAAGGCTACTCAGTCGTCGGGCATCATAGTGAGGCGGGGGCCCTTGGAAGCAGACAGATAGGGGGATATGGTCGAGCTGGTGTAACTCAGGCTGTTGGGGCCTGCAGTGGGCACGTTGATTTGGCTGGTGGCAGAGGGTGGGGAGATGGTGTTCAGCACCACGCCGCCCTCGTCCAGGGAGCGCTTGTAGGGGACTGGAACGTCACTTCGGAGGCCCTGGAGGGCCAGGTAGGCCTGGAATACCTGTGGGCAGAAAATAGTGGGCTGAAGGCTGGTGTGGACAGGCAGGGCTCTGCTGACTGCTCACTGCCCCAAGGCTGGCAGGTTCTAGCTCTCCCACCCTTCCCTGCACCGGGTGCGGTGGGGCAGTGCTGGGGGGCCAAGGCTTCTGCTCACCCAGACAGCGATAGAGAAGAAAGCAAAGGTGATGGCTGCTTTGGCGCTGCTGCTGCCTAGGAGGAAGTGCTTCTGCTTCGAATTCCTCCACTGGCCAACCAGGAAGAAGAAGCCCAAGAACCAGACGCCTGTCCAGACAACTGCAGAGTTGCAAGGAGAGAAGAGGGCAGGGGAGGCATGCTCAGGGAGGACCACTGACGGGGTGCAGAGACAGGACCCCAAATCACTCCAAGCCCTGCCCAGAGTGAACCCCTGACCCATATGGGAGCCACCAGCTATATGTGGCTGTATGGACTTCAATTCATTAAACTAGAACTTGAGTTCAGTTCCTCTGTTTGGTGCCAGCCATAGGTGGCTGGTGGCTTCTGGGTTGGAGACCACAGGACAGCACATCTCTACCCTTGCAGAAAGTTCCCTTAGGTGGCTCTGGACTCCGTGACCTGTGAGGGCTCCCTTGGCTGGGTGATGCTGGGACTGGGAGAGGAGGGGAGGGGAAAGCTGAGATTCAACTAAGAAGAAGGACGCCACCAGGATCTAAGGATAAAGAGCAGGCATGTAAAGCTTGGTGTGGCGGTGCATGCCTGTAATCCCAGCTCTCAGAAGACAGAGGGCAAGATTATGAAGAGTTCCAAACCAGCCTGGGTTACATATCAAAACCCTGTCTCAACACAAAAACAAAACAAGAATGTGCATTTATTTACCACTTAACTGCATGCCAGGTCTATGGAGAACAGCAGTGGTTAAGGAGGAAGGCTTTGAAGTGCTTGACCTGTCACTCACCTGGCAGCAGTGACCCAGTGACACCACCTCCTCCAGCCTCAGTTTCCTCCTCTGTAAAATGGGAACACGAGGAGAATTGACCTCCCAGGGGGGTTCTGAGGACTAAAGGAGGGGAGGCAAGTGCCCTGATGGAGGGCCTGCCTTGGGGAAGTGCTTGGGGAGAGCTCATGTTACTATATGCCCACCCCTCCTTACCTCACATCAGAAAAACCCCAAAAGGCTCCCAATGTTTACTGAGAGTCAAAGAAGGGAAGAGACTTGTATAAGCCCACAGAGCCGGGGGGTGTTGGGGTCTGTCTGGCTCTGTGCTTGGAGCCCCAGTTCCTGCTATGGGGTAGCTTTTCAAGAACTACTTAGTGGACTGGGTCAGTGGCTAATGCTTGTAATCCCAGCTATTCAGGAGGTGGAGATGACAGGATGGCTGTTTGAGGCCAGCCTGGAAAAAAGTTAATTAATAAGACACTATCTCAAAAAACAAGCTGGGGGCTGGCAGAGTGACTCGAGAGAAAGCACATGCCTAGCAAGTATGAGACCCGGAGTTCAAACCCCCAAACAAACAAACGAATAACAAAACAAGCCAGGTGAGGCAGTGGTCCATGCCTGTAATTCCTACTTGAGAGGCAGAAGTAGGAGGATCACGGTCCTAAAGATGAGAGATACTTCTTGAAAAAATAATCAAAGCACAAAGGGCTTGGCGTATGGCTCAAGTGATAAAGCACCTGCCTAACAAGCAGGAAGCTCTGTGTTCAAATCTCAGTAGTGACAAAACCCCCCCAAAACAAAAACCTGGTTAGGGTTCTGCAGGACACATAGTTTCCTGGGGGGGAAACAGCAGGTACAGATAGGCATGAAAAACATGGGGACAGTCAGTCAGACTGTGACTGGTGACCCAGGACCGTCAGGCTCAGAGGCCGCTGGGTGGCCAAGGACCATGTCCTATGGGCCCTGGGGAGAGCTGTGGGCAGGAGGGGCAGCTCCATGCAGGGCCTCCAGGGCTCACCAGCCACAATGAAGTCCAAGAGCTGGAAGGCCGTCTTGAAGCGGGTGCTGGCGATGCGGCTCTCATGGGCATCCAGGGTGAGGAAGACCAGGCAGCTGAGGAAGGCCAAGAAGCCAGCTCCCACTGCGAAGCTGCAGGCTGTGCTGTTACCCTTGAGGACACAGTAGAGCTGGGAAGACTCCGTCTTGTTCTGGTAGCCATCGGTCAGCAGGGAGGAGAAGATGACCAGGGAGAAGACCTGTGGACCCCCGGGACCAGGGCAGAGCTCAGTGTCTCTCCCAAGGTGAACTTCCTTCCTGATGGGGAGGGTTCTGTTACATACTGGATTGCTGAGCTGTTCCTGCTCCTCCAGCATCCTCAACCTCATGCCCTCATCCTTTCTTCTCCATTCTAACTCAAGCCTCGCCCTCTTTCCTGGACCCTCGCCTCCCTGCCTCCACTCTTGCATCCTCAGCCCCAGGAATCCTTTCACACACAACCCTCCTTGTTCACAGCTCCCCAGTGGCCCCAGGACTGCATCTCAGCCCCTCAGCTTGGCCTTTGGGGCCCTGTATGGTCTCCATGCTCCTCCTTCTGCTAATTCTATGTATTGTCCTATCACCAAACCCAGGCACCCTTATGAATTGCTTAGTACAGTGTCCAGGACACCAGAGAGCTGAGTGAGTGGGTGTCTTCTCTCTGCCTGTGACTTCTTTTTTTTTTTTGAGATAGGGTCTCCCTATGTAGCCCAGGATGGCCTTGAACTCGTGATACTCCTGCCTCAGCCTCCCTAGTAGTGGGATTACAGACATGCACCACCACATTGGCTTTTGTTTCAGAGGAATTGAACCAAGCTGAATTTGGTTGGTTGGTAAGCAGCAGAGTCTGGGTTTGAAATCTAGTGGTCTGGTTCCTTAGCCTGCTCTTAACTGTTCACTATCTTTTTTTTTTTTTTAATACAGTGCTGGGATTTGAACTCAGGTGTTCTACCGCTTGAACCAGTCCTTTTGCTTTAGTTATTTTTTGGATAAGATTACAAATTTTTGTTTGGGCCAGCCTGGGCTGCAATCCTCCTACCTATGCCTTGGGTATAACTGGGACTTCAGGCATGTCCCACCATATCTAGCTTATTTGTTGAGATGGGGTCTTGCTAACTTTTGCCTGGACTGGCCTCTAACCATGATCCTCCTGATCGCTGCCTCCCAAGCAGCTGGGATTACAGGTGTGACCACCACACCTGGCTAACCTCTCACTATTCTGCCTCATCCTGGACCAAATGCCTGGAGGGCATGGGCTGTTATTGGTGCAACTCAATAAAAAGTTGAAGCCTCAATTATCTGCCCCAGACAGTTCCATTGCAGTGTGGTAAAGTCTGCATCGGACACAGAAGGAGCATGTGTGTTGATGCAATGAGGTAGTGAGTGGAGTTGGTCCTGGGGGGTTCTTGATGAGGGAGTGTTAGAGTCTGAGAAAGGCTGAAGAATGAGAACATTGTTTAGAGGGCAGTAGAAAGCCATGGGAGGGTCGTGAGCAGGGGAGGGCAGGGTCAGTTTTTGGTGTAGAAAGAGCTTTTCAGGGTGAGTCTGAAGGCTGGGAGGTCAGGGTTGAGGGAGAGTCAAGGCTGAGTGGGAACCAAAGTTGGGGGACTAGCTGGGTATTGGTGGCTCACGCTTGTAATCCTAGCTACTCAGTAGGAGGCAGAGATCAGGAGGCTCGCTGTTCAAAGCCAGCCCAGGCAAAAAGTTTGTGAGACCTATCTCAAAAATACGTAACACAAAAAGAGCTGGTAGAGTGGCTCAAGATGTAGGCCTTGAGTTCAAACCCCAGTACCGAAAAAAAAAAAAGTTGTAGGGCTGGATTTAGGTGGCAATAATTGAGATTTGAACTGGACCTAAATGAAGAGTTTTCGAGGCAGATAGAAAAAAGGAAGGGCATTCTAGGCAGTGGGAACATGCAAATGCCAGAAGCTGCAAGCTGGGCTTCTTCAGAGAGAAATCTCATTTGAGGGATCTCATGTAAAATGAAGCTGGATCTGTAATCCCAGCTACTTGGGAGGTAGAAGACAGAGGATTGCAAGTTTGAAGTCAGCAAGGCCAAGGTTAGCTAGACTGTCTCACAAACAAAAGGTCTGGGGGAGAGATTTAGTGCTAGAGCACTTTCCTAGGATGTATGAAGCCCTGGGTTATATCCCTAATACCTTGAAAAAAAAACAAGAAAAGCAGGGCACAGTGGCTCCAGTCTGTAATCCTAGCTACTTTCGAGGCAGAGACCAGGAGGATCATGGTTTGAGGCAGCCCAGCTCCGTCCCCCTAAAAAAAAATGAGGCTAAAGAAGTGGGCAAGAACCAGTAGGCCCTCTGAGACCTTGAACACTAGGCCTGGTGGGGGCCCTTGAGTGTTAAATTTCCCATCTGAATTTAACTTTCTGCATGGAAGGTTCTGAGAGAGGATGGCCAGGGTCAGACCTGGGTTATTGTGAGATCGTGTGGCCCACAGACTGGAGGGGCTGTGCCAAGATAAGAGGCACAGAGACCCAAGACTGGGTTGGTTGGGAGGTCCAGGCGAGAAACGCTGAGGTCGGAGCCCTGGGGAGTCCAGGAATATTTGGGATGTAAAATCAGACCTGGTGATTGGTTGGATGTGACAGTGCTAGCATGGGAGTTGGTGGTGCTGGTGGGGGGTGGAGGGTAGTCCAAGGCACAGGGGAGGGAACATGTTCCCTCTGTCAGACTTTGAACTCCTGCAGAACAGGCTCATGGAAGACCCTTCTTTCCCCAGCACACAGTGCCACATTGGACCTTCATGAATGTGCGAGAAGAGTGAATGACTTTGGCTCCTTCTTGCTCTTGCTGTGTCCTTCAGAGTAGGGGGAAGGAGGAAAAGACTGACCCCGAAGCCTATGTCCTGTCCTTCCTCCTCTCTCCTTCACCTTGAGTTGCTTTACAAAAACAGCAACAACAACTAGTCCCTCTTTTTGCCAAATACTTTAGGATTCAAGTTCATTGTCTTTTGTGATCCTCCTTAGAGGAGGCTGTAAGATAGCTATCCCTGTGTCATAGCTGAAGAACCCGCTCTATGGATGAGAGTGCTTGGCATTGCTGGTCTGAGGCAGAGCCAGGTAGAGGACGGGAGAGCGCATCCGTCATTTTGAAGCTCATATTCATTTTATCAGCACCTGGAACCTTGCACTGGTCCCATAAGGGAGAGGTTATTAATTCATTTCTGTTTCACAGGTAATAAATTGAGAACATTATAGTGGGGTGGAAAGACTCTGTCAGCTGTGTGGCCTTGGGCAAATCACAGAAGCCTTGGAGCCTCAGTTTCCCAGTCTGTCCCTATGCTATGAAGAAGGGGAATGAGGGAGGGAGTTGGGGCTCTGCCAGAGTAGGTACTTAGGAAAATGATGGTTGTCACAATTCACCCAGAGACAGGAAGTGTCCTCTCAAGGTCAGTGGGTAGTGGGGTAGGACTGGAGTCCAGCACTTCTGGTTTCTAGGCCCCTGGGCAGGCTGTTTGTCTACCCATCCAGGCTGTGATGGAGCCCAGAATACTGGAGGTGGAGGGAGGGGGCGCAGCTGGCCAACGACCCTATTCCTCTGAAGCCTGAGTCCAACTTCCTTCCACGCCCTCCCTGGCCTGTTCCCAGGGAGGGAGCAAAGATTCATCAGTTAAGGCACCAGCTGGCAAGCGATGTCCAGAAGGACAAGGGCACCAGCTGCCCAGAGACTCCCTGCTGAGGAGCCAGGCCAGGGGGAAGGAGGAGAGGGCGGGTGGGAGGGAGGATGGAGGCAGTGGGCAAAGTCCGTGACCAGAACATCTGTCACTGTCGGTGGCCCTGCCCTGTCTGCCCACACCCATCCACATCAGCTGGGTCTCCTCCCTCACCACCAGTCCTACCTTCCCAAGTTTTGGAGATGGGTGGGTAGATCCAAGTTTGACTTGTTCACCAGTGGGTGAAGTCCTTAGACAAGCTCCTCTACTTCTGGGAGCCTCAGTTTCTCCTTGGGTTATAGAGGGGAAGTAATGTCCACATCACAGATTCATGATGAGGAGTAAAGAGCATCTATTAGTGAGGGACCCAGCACTGGGATATGACTTTCTCCATCCTTCTTTCCTCGGGGAAGAAAGACAATGAAAGGAGTCTCTATTACCTTAGGTGCCCCAAACCACAAGTCACAATTTGTTCCAATAATATAATCATTGCCAGCCCAGCATGATGGTACATACCTGTAATCCCAGCTACTTGAGAGACAGAAGCAAAGAGGATCAAGGGTTCAAGGCCAGCCTGGGCGAAGTTATTAAGCTAGATCCTATCTCAAAAACAAACTGAAATCCAAAGGACTGGGGACATGGCTCAAATGGTAGAGCGCTTGCCTGTTTTTCATGACACCCTGGCTTGAGTCCTCAGTACTGCAATGAATTAAAAAATAAAACAAAAAGTTTGCTATTTAAGGAAGGCTCACCACTTGCCAGGACTGTACTAATCAGTATATAGGCAATAACTCATTTTCATAGCAGTCCTGCCTGACAAGCAGGTTATTAGGACCCTCTCTTTATAGACAAGGGAAGAGAGGTTCAGAGAAGTCAAGTAACTTGTTCCAGGTCACACAGACGTAGGCTGACTATGTAACCTATTGAACAACACAGGGTACTTCTGCAAATGAAAGATATTGTTGCTGACAGTTATGCCAGGCTGGCCCAGGAAAACCGGGGAATCTGTCCTGCTAGTGGATGGTCCATGACTAGGCCAGGATTCAGAGCCAGGCCTATTTGGTCTCTTTTGTTCCAGAATGGGCAGGGAAGAGAGAGTCTGGTCAGGAATCTGGGGGAAGACCCTGGGTCTGATCCAGGGCCCCCACCTACTCCCATGACTCTGACCAGATCTCACCATTTTCTCAGGCCTCAGTTTCCAATTCTGTCAAGGGCAAGCAAGGGAAGCAGCGCAGGTTAAAGCCCATAGCTATGGCTTTGACCCCTCAGGTAGGGATGTCCAGAGAGGAGCAGTGATTGGTCCAAGGTTACACAGTGGATTCTGGGATAGGATGAGAATTTCACTCCCAGTGTCCAGACTCTTGGCGAATGTGGTAATGATTTAAACGATTCATAGTGCCTGACACAGGAGGCCATCTGACACCTTGTACCTTAGGCCTACATAACATATTCTCATCCCACCTGTGTACATCTCTCTCTCTCTCTCTCTCTCTTTCTCTGTCTCTCTGTCTCTCTCTCTTGGTACTGGGAATTGAACCCAGGGTCCCACATATTCTAGGCAAGCATTCTATCACTACACTATACTCCTAATTCTCTTGCCTCTTTCTCTCTTGCTCTCTTTCTCTTTAATTTTTTTGGCAGTACTGGAGTTTGAACTCAGGGCTTCATGCTTGCTAGGTAGGTGCTCTACCACTTGAGCCACAGACCAACCCTTTTCTTTTTGTGTTGGGTGTTTTTGAGATAGGGTCTTTCTTTTAGCCCAGGCAGGCCTGGACCACAATCCTCTTATTTATGCTTCCTGTTGTTGCTGGGATGATAGGTGTGGACTACTATGCCTAGTTTTTTTCTATTGAGATGGGGTCTTACAAACTTTTTTTGCCCTGGTTGGCCTGGAACTCTGATGCTCCTGATCTCAGCCTCCTGTGTAGCTTGGGATGACAGATGTAAGCAACTGGTGTCTGGCTTGTATATCTTTCTTTATAGACCCTAGCCTCTGTCCTCCCCACTCTCATCTGAGAGCTAGAAAGTGAAACGGCTCTGGCATGTCACAGACCTGAGTTTGAACTGTGGCCCTGCCTCATACTGTGTCGTGACCTTAGTCAAAACTGCCCAGAATTTTCTGGCATGCTGAAAATGTCCTGTAACTGCACTGTTCCATTTGAGAAACCCCAGCCATGTGTGGCTAGTGCGCACCTGGAATATGGCTGCTGTGGCTGAGGAATAGCCTATTTTATTCTAATTAGTTCACATTGAGATGGCCACATGTGGCTTGTGGCTACCCCATTGGAAAGCACAGTCTTCAAAAAATTTATTTCATTTCTCTGATCCTCAGTTTTCTTTTTAAAATTACAGGGCCTACCTGCATACCCAGTGGCTCATGCCTGTAATCCTTGGTACTTGGGAGGCTGAGATCAGCAGGATCTTAGTTCGAGGCCAGCATGGCAAATAGTTCTTGAGATCCCATCTCTAAAATTATCAGAGCAAAATGGACTGGAGGTGTGGCTCAAGCAACAGAGTTCAAAGCCCTGAGTTCAAACCCCAGTCCTGCCAAAATTAAAAAAACAGTTATGGGGCTGTGGCACCTCTTTGAAGGGTTCTTTCTTGCAGTGAGTCAGTCAGTGCTGGGAATAGCATGGGGCATAACCAGGTGCTCAGCCTAAGGTAACTTCAAAAGGAGTTCATGTGTCACCCATCTATAATCCCAGCACTTGGGAGGCTGAGGCAAGAGGGTCAAGAGTTCGAGGCCAGCCGGGTACCAGTGGGTAATGCCTGTAATCCTAGCTACTCAGGAGGCAGAGATCAGAAGGATCCTGTTTGAAGCCAGCCCAGGCAAATAGTCTGTGAGACCCTATCTCGAAAAAGCCCATCACAAAAAGCTGGTGGAGTGGCTGAAGGTGTAGGCCCTGAGTTTAAGCCCCAGCACCACAAAAATAAATAAATAAATAAAAGAGTTCAAGGCCATCCTGGGCTGGCTATATAGTGAGACCTTTTCTCAAAAAAAAAAGATAATTTTTAATTTTTATATTGATGACATGTTGAAATGGTAATATTTTGGGTATAATGGTTGAAATAAAATTAATTAAATAAAATTAACTTATTGTTGTCTTTTCTTTTGATTTTTTTTTTTTTGTGTGTGTGTGTATGTGTGTGTGTGCTACTGGGGATGGAACCCAGGGCCTCACCCACGTGCTAGGCCAGGGCTCCATTACTTGAGTCATGCCTCCAGCACTTTTGTTTGAATTTTGCTTCTGAGAAAGGGATTCACTTACTTTGCTTGTGCTGCTCTCGAACTTGAGATCCTCCTGCCCCCACCTGTCAAGTAGCTGGAATTATAGGTATGTACCACCACATCTGTCTTTCTTAATGTGGCTACATAGTGAGACCCTGTCAAAAGGTGGCTTCAGTTATTAGTCTCCTTTTGCTTCCTTTCCCCACCAGACTCCTTCTTGCCCTGCCCTCCAGTGCAGTTGACTCCTGATGTCTCCCGTCTCCCTGTGCCCCAGGGGCCTCACCCCTGCCAAGATCCGTGTGACGCTCTTTGGCTTTCTCAGAAAGCGCACGGTTTCACTGTAGGCCAGGTCCTGCAGGCTTTCAGGGACACGCATAGCGGCTGCCCTCCTTCTGGGGCCCCAGGGGTGCTGGGCGCTGCCTGGGTGATCCAGGCCCACTCCTGGGCTCGGCTGCTACAAGACAAGACAGGTGGGAGACATCAGTCAGGGGAGGGATGCTGGGGGACTTGCTGAGGTCCCCTGATTTGGGGTGTAGAGTAACCTGGCTAAGGGGCTGCTAGGGTTCCTAGAAACAGAAGGCACAGGGTGAAGGGGCTCCTTCAGTTTCCAGGTCAGGAATATGGGGTGAGGGGCTGCTGGGGGTGTCCCAGGAGCTGGGGATAAGGGGTGAGGAGGGGTTTCTGGGGTCTTAGGAGTGGGGGACACAGGTGAAAGGGCTGCTTCAGGTCTCAAGGGTTGGAAAGTGGGGTCAGGGTGTTTCTCAGGGCCCCAGAAATGAGGAATGTGGTGTGAGGTTGTGAGTGACAAGGTTGCAGGGGAAAGGGGCTGCTGGGGGTGTCCCAGGAACTGGGGATAAAGGGTTGTTTCTGGGGGTTGTAGGAATGGGGGGAACAGGGTTAGGGCTGCTAGGGGGGTCCCAGGAACTGAGGATAGTGGTGAGGATATTTCTGGGGTTTCTTAGAATGGGAGCTATAAGGCAAAGGAGCTGCTGGGGAGGGTCCCAGGAGCTGGGATAAAGGATGATGTCTCTGGGGGGTCATAGGAATGGGTGGCATGGGGTTAGGGTTGTTGGGGGGGTCCCAGGAGCTAGGGATATGGGGTGAGGACACTTTTTGGGTTTCTCAGAATGGGGGGTATGAGGCAAAGGGGTGCTAGGGTCCCAGGAGAGGGGGGGCACACTGAAGGGGCTGCTTTAGGTCCCAGAAGTCAGGAATGCAGCCAACGGGGCTGTAGACAGGCCTCCCAGAAGTGGAGCACAGGGTTGGGGATCCCCAGCCAAAAAGGGATGTGGACAGGGCTGGGATGCATGGGGTTGGAAAACTTGTGTCTGAGGACATCAGTGGATGTTCCCAGAAAGTAGAGGTGCTAGGGCATGGCAGAACCCTGGAAGGTCGAGGCAGACGAGTCTCAGGTTTGGGGGTGACACTCATAATGGAGCTCCCAGGTATTCAGAGCATGTTTGAGGCTGTCCCTGAGATTGGGGGTTATTTTCCAGAATGACAGCCTCCCCTTAGCCTCCAGCTCGTCTTCATAAAAGTGCATTTTCTCAAGTGGGGAGTCTGGACTTGGGGTGCGGAGAACCTCAGAACTGAGCCCTCAAGACAGGACGCGAGGTCGCAGTCCCAAGCGGCCTTCTCAGACTCGGGATCTCTCCTTTAAGGACGTAGGATGCGAGTCCTGGTTTGGAGGTGACGCTGCCTGGCAAAGGGCCATCCTTACTATGAAGGACCAGTGTGCGTCACCTGGAGGCCGGCTCTTCCTTCCGCCCACCTCTTCGTTCCGCCCGCCCTCCCCTGCTGGTCCCGGACGCCACCTCAGCTTCCTTTTTCTTCCGCTTTTTCCCGCCTTTTCGCTTCTCCACAGCTGATTGGCTGCACCCAAGTCCCGCCCCTTTCCTTTCCGCCTACTCAGGAGCAGACTGGAGCGAGGGTGTGGCCTCAGCGAGACGTTGGGCGGCTCGCCCGTTGGCTGGCTGCGCGCGGGAGCCCGGCCCCACCCCAGCCCAGTCTCGCGCTTTCCCCGCCCCTTCCCTTTGAAGACAGCGGGCAAGGAGACACTTCTGTGGCGCATGCGCCTCACCTAAACGAGGCTAAATGGAGAAAGGCACGCATCATACGCATGCGCAGTTGAGATAGAAAACTGGCCTAAACTTAAGGGCCCAGGCTTTGCGCATGCGTCTTACTACATACTGAAGCCGATCCGAGGCCCTTGACACCTTCATGCGCATGCGCAGGAGGCTCAATGACAGTCGAACGTTGACTAAGGTGAGGGAAGGGCGGGGGATTACATGGCCTGGGGAGGGCGGCCCTGCACCCCCGATGTAGCTTTTCCGAGCATTTCCTATACTCTTAAGATCCACCTCGCCGTGTAGATCCTGTACCACTACAGGGTCTTTGGGCGTGCAAATCGCCTCAGGCCCTACGACCTCTGACCCTATAGGACTCAAGGCCAACTGAGCAATGTGGAAGAGGACAAGCAAGAGGGGCTATAGACGGGTTGATGGCTGTGCACCCCGCCAGGGGTAGGGACGGCCCCTGGAGACGGGATGTGGGTGTAGGCGTGTATTCTGCAGATGACATTGACCCCTGTTCATTTCCCTCCGTTTAGGCTCTGGGGAAAGGGTGTGGCCATGTTACACGTGACCCGGGGGGTCTGGGGGTTCAGGGTCCGAGTATGGTCCCTACTGCCCGCGCTCCTTGGGACCCCCCGGGCGCTGTCATCCCTGGCGGACAAGATGGGGGCGTACCGCAAGATGTGGAACCCCACAGAGCCCCGCGACTGGGCCCAGCAATACCGCGAGCGCTTCATTCCGTTTTCCAAGGAGCAGCTGCTCCGACTCCTGATTCAGGTACCGCGCATCCCTGGTACGAAGAGCCTGAGGACTACAATTCCCGGCATGCCCCGCGCTGGCGGGGCTCCGCGCACTATGGAGCACTGCCCTGGTGCCTTCTGGGATGTGCAATTCAAGGTCCCCTTACTTCCCTGGGGGGCGCAGGTGACTTGGAAGTCTGGGGCAAGAGGTCTGGGGTGCAGATGGTGCACGGATTCTGCACTGGAGCTTGAACAGGCACCGTCTGGGACATGGTTTTTCCCTCTATGAAATGGGTTAATTACCATCTTTATCATAACTATTTGTACTGCTTAATTAGAATTATATCTGCAGAGTCATAAAGCTATCATAACTACTGTTACATTCTTTAAGTTCTTACTCTGTGACACTGTGCCAAGCATTTGTCACATATTCATTGAATCATCAGAACAGCTCAGTCAGAGAGATCAACCTGTTTTACAGAGGGGGTAGAAGGAAAGTGACTTACCCAAAGCTACCACATAGTAGACCCTAAGAGAGAGGGCCTCCTTACAGTTTTTTTTGCCCTGGGTGCTAAATTTGCCTCACTCCTGTTCTGTTGTTGTTCCAGAGCTTGAACTCGAACCCCTCCCATCTCTGTCATCCCTGTCACTATTGAGGATCATCAGACATTCATCTAACAATTATTTATTGAACATCTACCGTGTGTACTAAGTCCTGTGCTAGACCTTATACACACACAAATGCACACACACATACATAAGTAGACATGCATATGTATGGACACATAATCTCACAAACTTTCCCACTGTCCTCTTGGAAAGAGGGCGTGGACGTAGCTGATGAGGATGTGAAGGCTTAGAGAGGTGCAGACATTGACTCAGGGCTCATAGGTAGGAAGCTTAATGCAGAGGTTCAATACATCTGCTCCAGAGACAGGCCTGGGGTGGAGTTGCCTCATACAACATCATGGCTCTCAGCAGATGGTATCCCTGAAACTCAGTTTGTGACTCTGAAAAATGGGGCGACATTTCCATCCACCCCTTTGTATTCCCCTGGAGGATGGTATTCAGCTAGCAGACAGTACCTGACTCACAATAAGCCTTCTGTGAATGTGGCTGAGTCAGTGTCAAAGCAGGAAGTCCAACCCTCCTGCTCGCTAATCCATCTTTTTGTTACTTTTTGGGCTGCCTCAGTTTCTAGGTCAGTAAAATTGATCTAACCTCCTCCCTTCACCCTAAATAAAACAAATTTTAGGGCCAGGCTCAGTGGCTCATTCCTACAATCTCAGCTACTTGGGAGGTATAGTTAGGAGGACCAGGGTTCTAGGACAGCCTGGGCAACAAAGTTAGCAAGACCCTATGTCAAAGAATAAACCAGATGTAGTTGTGTACTTTTGTAATCCCAGCAACTTGGGAGGAAGAGGTAGGAGGATTGTGGTGCAAGACTGACCTGGGCAAAAGTGTAAAAATTTATCTGAATAATAACTGAAGCTAAAAGGGCTGAGGGGCTGAGGGTACAGCTCAAGTGGTAGAGCCCCTGCTTAGTAAGCATGAGGTTCTGAGTTCAAACCCCAATAACTGCAAAAAAAAAAAGAAAAGAAAAGAAGGGGCCCAGAGTTCTGATCCTGTGTGTGGGTTGTCAGGGAAGGAATTCCTCCCATGGGGAAGAGGAGAGTGGCCTAAAAAGGTTTTGCTTCCTGAGGTGACAGGAATTCCACTCCAGCCCAGCAGAGAAAGCAGCCTTGGAACAGTTCTCAGCCCACGTGGACTTCTGCACCCTGTTCCACTACCACCACATCCTGGCCCACCTGCAGGTAGGATGGGCCCCTTCCGGCCCTGTCGAGTTTATTTGCTTATCCATTCCTTCAGTTAGTAGTTGCACTGATACTACCTGGAGTCTGGTTGTTTTCTAAACACTGGGGACTCAGCAGTGATCAGGACAGATGTAGCCTTGGAGCCAACTTTCCAGATGGGGACACAAGAAATCAAATGAATATAAAATATAAGCTGAGCATGGTGGCTCACCTCTGTAATCCCAGCTATTTGGGAGGATGAGGCAGTTTCAGGCAAAAGCTCAAGACTCTATCTCAAAAATAAACTAAAAGCTAAAAAACTGGGGATGTGGCTCAAGTGGTAGAGCACCTATCTAGCAAGTGTGAGGCCTCGAGTTCAAACCCTAGTACCACCAAAAAAAAAAGATGCCCCATAGGATAAGTGCCACAAACAATGAAGCAGAGTGACAGAATAAAGAGGGATAAGATGATATAGCAACGAGCCATTAACTCATGCGTCCAGCTCCTTAGCAGGTTCAGATCAGGAGGATCAAAATTTGAGGCCAGTCCAGGCCTCTTCTTATTCTGAAGAGTCCATCTTCAAAATAACCAGAGCAAAATGGACTGGAGGTGTGGCTCAAGAGGTAGAGCACCTGCTTGGTAATTGTGAAGCCTGAGTTCAAACCCCAGTTCCCCCCACCCAAATAAAAAAAAAGACAAAATGGACAGGGCAGTTGGATAAGGGCTCCTTGAGGAGGTAACAGGTGGACTGAGAGAGGGAAGGCACCTGATGGCTATGTGGGGGAGAATGATCAGGGCAGAGGGAAGAGCTGGGCCCCAAGGAGAGAGTGGGTTTGTTATGCTGGAGGACAGTGAGGTGGCTGTGTAGCTGGGGGGAGATGAGGACAGTGTGGGGGTGGAACCTGGTGTCCTGGGCCCTGGGGGGCCATGGTGAGGGCTCTGCTGTGACTGAGTAAGCAGTGAGCCACAGGCGGGCCGCCCACTGATTGAGGTGTTCGAGCCTCCCTGTGGCTGCGGTGTGGGAAGACACTGGCAGAGGGATGGAGACCCGTTACGGACTCTATTATACTTGTCTGTGAAGAGATAATGGTTGCTCTGGCCAGAGTAATAGCAATGGAAGTGCTGGAAATTGGGTCAGTTGGAAGGCATCCGCATTGGCTGTCGGGAAAGGGTGGTGAGGGACAGACAGGCCTGAGCCTCTGTAAGGACAGAGCTTCCACCTGCTGAGATGCAGAGGACTAGATGGTGGTGGTGTTGGGGGCAGGGAGACATTTGCAGGGAGAAGGCACAGCTTGGTTTTGGACCTAGTTATTTGAGCTACCAGTTGGACAACCAGGTGGAGAGATGTCTGAGCGTTGGGCATGGCAGTGCATATCTGTAATCCCAGCTACTCAGGAGAGAGTTTAAGGCCAGCCCGGGCAAAATGTTAGCTAGACCCTGTCTCAAAAGCAAGATACAAACAAAAAGGCTGGCAGGGGGAGGGGTGACTCAAGTGGTAGAGTGCTTGCCTAGCCTGTACAAGGTGCTGAGTTCAAGCCCCAGTACTAAAAAGCAAAGCAAACAAAAGATGACTGGAATATGCACATCTGCAGATGGAGGGGAGAAGGCTGGGATGCGAAAGCTCTGGAAAGTTCTAGATGGCACTGAATGAGACCACCAAGGGAGTTAGTTTTGCCTTAGATTGGGTTTCTTAAGCAAAAAACTCTGGATGGGGTACCTTAAATGGCAAATGTTTATTCCTTACAGAATCTTGAGGCTGGCAGTTTAAGATCAAGGCAAGTTGAGTGTTAGGTAGACTGTCTGGTGTGATTCAAGTTCCCAGGTAGAGCAAGATCCTCTTATTATGCAGGAAGGAGATGACTGGGATTTAGGGCTCTCCTCCCACAGGCTGGTCAAGGGCCAGAACTTTGTTTTGTTTTTGCAGCACTGGAGTTTGAACTCAGGGCTTTGCCCTTGCCAGGCAGATGCTCTACCATTTGAGCCTGCCTCTAGCCTCAGACCTTTGTTTGGAATGGGCGGGTTTGAACACTTTCACCTTGCTCATTGTACCTTCACTTCATCCTGCTTTGAATAACAAGAATGGCGACCATCATTGCCCCTGGTTGCTGTTGCCAAGTGCTTACTGTGCCAGGCAGAGGCAATCGCCACCAGCTCCGTTAGCAGAGTCAGATAGTAGGGCTCTGCAAGGTCCCTGGGATGGGCCCACGCTCACATGATCCCAAGTGGTGGGGCTGTGATTTGAGTCCCTGTGCTCTTCATGGGACACCTGTGGCCTCTAAAGGCAGGGTTATCTCCTTTCTTTTTCTTTTTCTTTTTTCTTTTCCGAAACATTTTACCATATAAACTTTAGAATGTATAGAGATGCAGCTGGGTGTGGTGGTGTTTACTTGTAATCTCAGCATTCAAGATGCTAAGGCAGGTGGGTCTTGAGGTGGGCCAGCCTGGAGTACACAGTGAAACTGTCTCAAAAAAGAAACTCAAATCAAGCATGGTGATGCGTATCTGTAGTCTCAGGTACCTGGGAGGCAGAGATAGGGGGATCTCTGTTTGAGGCTGGCCTGGGGCAAAAGCTAGAGACCCTATCTAAAAAAATAACTAAAGCAAAAAGGACTGGGGAGTGGCTCAAGAGGTTGAGCACCTGCCCAGCAAGTGCAAGTCCCTGAATTTAAACCCCAGTCCTGCCAAACAACAACAACAAACAAACAAACAAATGAACAGGCCAAAAACCAAAAACCAAACCAAGACATATAGAGAGGGAAACAGAAAGACTCTTAAGTGAATGTACCTGGATCTCTGAGGCAGGAGATTTTAAACCCAGGCTAGGGACCAGGTGGAAGCCACAGAGGCTGGCGAGACCTCCTGGTGGGAGCCTGTCACTAACAGCCTGTCCCTCCAGGAAGTAGCTTGGGAAGGAAAGAGTCAGAGCAGCCTTGGTTCAGACACCATGGCTCACTTGCTGTGTGGTGACCCTGGACGTGACCCCCCTGTGATCCTTCTTTCTCTTATTCATTCATTCATTGGATTTACTCGATAAATATTTATAGAGCCCCTACTGTGTCTCCAGAATGGTTCCAGGTCCAGGGCACAGCAGTGAGCATGACAGATGTGTGTCCACCCCATGGGGCTCTCATTCTAAAGAGAGAAGCAGCAGAGAAAAAGGCACCAAGGACTAAGGATCAGGTCGCCAGATAAAGCACAGGGCGTCCAGGCTGTTTGTTTCCACAGATGGCCATCACAAATGTCCATAGCTGAGTTAGCTTAAGACAACAGAAATATGCCAGGTGCTGTGGCTCATGCCTGTAATCCTAGCGACTCAGCAGACAGCGATTCGGAGGATCATGGTTTGAAGCCAGCCCAGGCAAATAGTTTGAGAGACCCTATCTCAAAAAACACCCATCACACACACACACATACCAAAGGACTGGTGGAGTGGCTCAGGGTGTAGGACCTGAGTTCAAACCCCAGTACTGCAAAAAAAAAAAAGAAGCAGAAATACATTCTCAGCTCAGGAGGCCACTGGTCCCTAGTCAGCGTGCTGGTGGGGTTGGCCTCTCCTGGCGCAGATGCAGGATTATTCCAGGACTCTTTTTTAGCTTATGATGGCTATGGCAATCATGGTGTTCCTTGGTTCCTACTTATTTATTGGTGGTACTGGGGTTTGAACTTGGAGTCTCAAGGCAGGTGCTTCCACTACTTCAATCATGCCCCAGAGTTTTGGTTTTAGTTTTTTTGTTTTGTTTTGTTTTGTGTTTGATCTCAGGCTTTTGCATGCTCTGCCTTAGACTGTGATCCTCCTGCTTCTGCCTCCTGAGTAGCTGGGACTACAGTTATGTACCACCACACTCAACCTTGTTTCTTAGCTTTTAGATGTCTCATTCCAAGCCGTCTTCATCTTCACACACTCTTCTTCCACGTGTGTTCTTTCCTGTCTCTTATTTATAAGGGTGCCTCCCCTGGGATTGAGGACCCCTGCTAAACCAATATGATCCTATCTCCTTCCTTAGCTTAATTCCCTGCAAAGACCCTAATTCTAAATAAAGTCATATTCTGAGGGGATGTGAATTTTTAAAAAATTAAATTTTTTTCTTTGTTGAGGGACATGAATGTTTAGGGGGAGAGCCTCTTCAACATGCTATACACTCTTAAATTAGAATTTCAAGTAAACTGTGAAGAACTTTCTAAATGTAAGAATGAGTTATGTAGTAGAGTCCTGAAATATTACAGGATATATTTCAATCAAAATATCCTATGTAGTTCCATAGATAAGTACCCCTAAGTCTGGCAATCTTAATTAAGGAAAACAAATGAGGGAGGGGGTATTTTTTTGGGGGAAGTGGGGGACAAGTTCTCCATACGTAACCCAGGCTGGCCTTGAACTCACAATCCTCCTGCATCTCGCTCCTAAGTGCTGGGATTATAGGCATGCACCACCATTCCTGGGGTGAGACGGGTATTTTGCAACATTAGGTAAGGTAGTCAGGGAAGGTGCCCTGAGCAGGTGACATTTGTGTAGAGACCTGAAATAGGTGGAGAGTCACCCACGTGGAGATCTGAAGGAACAGTAACTGCAAGGGCCCTGAGGCAGGAATGTGTCTGGTGTGTAGGAGGAAGAGGGAGGAGGCCTGTGGGGAGAAGTGGAAAGAGAACCAAGGTCAGATGCTGCAGGGCCTCATGCTATGGAGGACTCAGAGGGAGCCTGGGAGGACTCTGAGCAGGACTGGCTCTGCCATTGGTGGGAACCGCCATCCTCTTGTGGCCGCGGGGGGAACAAGGTCGTGGTGAGTCAGCCATAATCCTAGTATATGGCCAGGGGCAGGTGAAGGCCAAGGGCATGGCCCTGTGCAGTGCAGTGGAGGACACAATTGCCCTTGGATTCTGTGTCACACGCCCTCCGTGTGCTCAGAGCAGAGGCAAGAAGTGTGGGATGCATGTTGTGTGTGGCTGAGACTAGCCCATGCTTTGGAAGTGTGAGAAAGAGGGGAGTCCTGGTGACCACCACTCCCTGCTCTGGCCTGAGCACCCAGAAGGACTGGGGTGGCACCTCCTGAGATGCAGGCCATGGTGAGGCAGCAGGACCTGGGTGCACAGCCACTGGGTTGAGAATTTGCCTGTGACTGACTGTCTGCCGGGCGGTGAAGGGGTGCTGGCCGTGAACCCAGGGCCTCGGCAAACCAGGCAAGCATTCTGCTACCGAGCTACGTCCCAGACCTGTGTTTCTATTTTGTTTTAGAGACAGGGAGACAGGGTCTAGTGCTTTTGCCTGGGCTGGAGCTCAACTTGTCATCTTCCAACTTGTGAGCCTCTTGAGTGGCTGGAATTACAGGTAGGAGCCACCACACTCAGCTAAATCTTTTACTTTTTAGCTGTGTGTGTGTGTGTGTGTGTGTGTGTAAGAGAGAGAAACTCTGTTGGGCAGTGTTTCTCTCTATTGTTTATTTACACTTGAAGGGTGACCATTGTGATAATGTACAGGTCTACGGTGACTCTGACGGTGCAATGTGGTGCAGTACACACCCACCCCACCCTCCTCAGTCTACCAGTTGGAGCAAGGCTTCCCCAGGGTGGTAATGGAGAAGGAACAGAGGTTCAGTAGTGCAGGGAAGGAGGCAGGAAGGAGACAGGCTTCCAGCAGCAGCCCTGTGGCTGGAGGTACAAAAGCCTGCTGTAGAGTCTCTCATGGAGGTGTTTGCTCAGCCCTCTGGGCCTTTGAGGAACAAAGTCCTGGTTCCTGAGGAACCTCAGAAGGGCTTTAGCAGATTTGGATGTGGGCTGGATGTGTAATTCAGGATTTACTTCCTGGCTGTATGATCTTGGACATTTACTTAACCTCTCTGTGACCAGTGTTCACTTCTGTAAATGGGGAAACCCATAGTATGGTTTTTGTAATTGGTTTCAGATGGTACCCGATACATAGTAACCACAGCTGGAGTTTCACTATCATCATTGTTACTGTTTGTCAAGATATTTGGTTGCTGGATCCCTGGTGTTAGTGGGGAGGAGAGAGCTGGGTGGAGGGCTTCTGTGTCAGAACAGGCAGGACATAGCGGACAAGGAGGGGGAGACTCACAGTGATCTTGTGCTGTGTCCAGGTTTCTGGCTCGAAGCCCTGAATGGAGGCAGGTTCCCCAGGGGAGCCTGGCTAGCAGTGGACATCTGATGGATACAGATTTTTTCCTCCTCCAGGCCTGAGATTCTCTCACTCTGACTGCAGCTCAGCCCCGGTGGAATTTCTCAGGGTCACCCTGAGAGTCTGAGAATGTGGACTGTGGGCTGAAGTGCTGAAGGATCTGAGCACAGGCCTGGACTTGGCCAGTGTCCTCCAATCCGGGAGTTAGCGCAGATGAGGACTTGCCCTGCTTGACTGCCACATCTCCTGGTCCCCGTTCCCTGGCTTCTGAGGACCTGAGCTTTCCCACCACCAAACCTTTCCTGGTCCGTTCCTCCCATTGGAGGAAGCACTGTTGTCTCCCTTCTTTCACCTTTCCAGAGTCACCTCTGGCCAGCCAGGTGTTGTGTCACACATCTGTAATCCCAGGTAGTCTGGTGGCGGAGGTCTGAGGCCACCCTGGGCAAAAGCTCAAGACCCTATCTGAAAACAAACTAAAGAGAAAATGGCTGGGGGCATGGCTCAAATGGTAGGGCACCTGCTTAGCAAGAGCAAGGCCTTGAGTTCAAATCCCAGTACCACCAGAAAAAAAATAAAGAAAAAGAAAAATCACACCTGGCCTAACAGATTGCTCCTGAAGTTTCTCTCCTGAAGGACACGTTGAGGCCGGGTTTACGGCCTTGGTCCATAGTTGGGGCTGGCGAGGGGAGGGTTCTCCCTGAGGCTGGTCACATTGGCCGCAACACATCATCCCGAGACTCAGTCTCTCCACAGTCAGTCAGGGTAGACAGCTGGCGATTCACTTTTCCTGCAGCAGTTTTTGGGGGAATGTGATTGTAGGAACATGAGAAGGTGTTGCCAGGCCAGTTTCTGAGGGTCCCTGAAGGTGGAGAAAGAGTTAGTGTTTTATGCCAGAAGCAGGGGGAAGCCTCTGGGGTGTGGGAGGTGAGTTTGGGCTCTGCTTGGGACCAAGTGCTCTCTGATGGCTTCATGGAAAGGGTTTTAGGTGCTGGGTAGGACTTTCTGTGAGGGGGGGAAAGGCAGAGGGGGAAGCTAAGGGTTGGCTCATTTCAGTAGTGTCACTTGGCTCTGTGCTCTGTGTATCAAGGGTGGTCCCTGGTTGCCTGGCACCTGGCCCTGAGGTGCTGATGCTGAACAGTGTCACCTCACCTCTTGGGGGACCCAAGGGAGGAAGGCTGGACCTGGACTTGCTGGTTTGCATAGCCCAGACCTGCTCCTGCAACTGAAGACTGGCTGGGCTTAGCAAGGCATGGTGGAGCATATCTGTAATCCCAGCACTCAGGAGACTGAAATAGGAGGATCAAGAGTTCCAGGCCAAGCCAGGTGCTGTGGCTCATGCCTGTAATCCCAGCTACTCAAGAGACAGAGATCAGAAGGATTGTGGTTTAAAGCCAGCCCAGGCAAATAGTTCAAGAGATACTATCTCAAAAAAAAAAAAAAAAAACCTTCACAAGAAAGGGTAGTGGAGTGGCTCAAGGTGTAAGGCCCTGAGTTCAGACCCCAGTACTGTTAAAAAAAAAAAAAAAGAGTTCCAGGCTAGCCTGGGTTACATAGCAAGAACAAGACCCTGCCTCAAAAAAGAAATAATAATAAAAAAATAATTGGCTGGGCCTGGCAGGGGCTCTCTGTCAACCTTCTGAAAGGTTTTTAAGGTGTCAACATGTTATACAGAAAATTTAAAATATATTTATTGGGGGTGGTTAGTGGGAGGAAGAGGGGAAGGAGAGGATGCTGGGGGCGCGAACAGGATCGAAGTACCTTACAGATTTATAATGAAGAGAGTGTAATGAAACCCACTACACACTGTTTGATAAGGGGGGAGGAGTGCGGGGGGTTATGGGAGCGTAACACAGGGGAGAACTTGTCACAGTGCACTGACTGTGACATCTGTGGCATAATTGTAATGAAACCACTGGACTTTCTTTTTTTGAAGCACTGGAGTTTGAACACAGGACCTCATGCTTGCTAGGCAGGTGCTCTACCACTTGAGCCACTGCGCCAGCCTTTTTTTATGTGCATGTTGGGTATTTTTGAGATAGGATCTTGCTTTTTGCCTGGGCTGGCCTCAAACTGCGATCCTCCTCATCTTTGCCTCCTGAGTAGCTAGGTTTACAGATGTGAGCCACTGGCACCCAGGAAATCCTTGCACTATTAATGCATGCAAATAAAAATAGTAAATATATAGCTGGGTGCTGGTGGTTCACACCTGTAATCCTAACTACTCAGGAGGCGAAGATCAGGAAGATTGCGGTTCGAAGCCAGCCCAGGCAAATAGTGTGCAAGACCCTATTTCAAAAAACCCTTCACAAAAAAAGGCTGGTGGAGTGGCTCAAAGTGAAGGCCCTGAGTTCAAGCCCCAGTACCGCAAAAATAAATAAATAAATAATTAGCTAGCTAGCTGTAGATAAAGTAAGTATATAGTATTTATATATAAATAGTAAATATATGGATATATACATATACACATATGCAGATCCATACAGTCAGGCAGACAGTATTCTAAGTTGGCAGAACAAGAGTTAGAGTCCATGGGAACGAATGTTACCTCCACTCACTGTCCACTGGTCCACTGGTGAACATTGGTCTCTTAGTGCTCTAGCCTCATGGGCTGCTGGGAAATGTAGTCTCCATCTGGCAGCCAGAGCCTGCCTGCACCTCTGTAACCTTGGGAGAAGGTAGCACACGGGCTCCACTCCTGTTGAAAGACACATGCATGGCAGGGCAGTGTGGGGTGAGCTGGGAGAGAAAGGTCCCAAGATCAAGCCCTGGTGGTTCTGTGTCACTTAAAGGATAGGAATGTGCTGGGTATGGTGGCACACAGCTGTAATTCCAGCACTTGGGAGGCTGAGCCAGGAGGATCACGAGTTCGAGGTCAGCCTGGGCTACCTAGTGAGATCCTGTCTCAAAAAACCCAAGGGCCAGAGATGTAGTTCTGTTAGAGCACTTGCCTAGCACAGCAAGGCCCTGGGTTCAGTCCCCAGCACTACGGGAACATCCTTAAGTGTCCCCACACTCTCTCATGCTGTGACCTAGCCCATTTTTTTCTCTCTTACTCTTTCCCCAGGCCTTGTATGACCCTATCAACCCCGACAGGGAGACCCTGGACCAGCCATCCCTCACGGACCCCCAGCGACTGTCCAATGAGCAGGAGGTGCTCCGGGCTCTGGAGCCTCTGCTGGCTCAGGCCAACTTCTCCCCACTGTCTGAGGACGCCCTGGCCTATGCACTGGTGGTCCACCACCCTCAGGACGAGGTCCAGGTACCTGTCTTCCCAGATGCTTCTGGGGACAAGCGCTTCTGGGGGCTAGAGTGCTGAATGTAGGGCTCTCCCTTGTGGCACACTTGGTGACTTAGAGAAAGATATCTCCCTCTTAGGTCACTTTGGTGGCTCCTATTAGAAAAGTGTCATCCAGACAGGTGTGGTAGTGCGTGCTTGTAATTCCAGCTACTCAGGAGGCAGAGCCAGCGAGCCCAGGCAAAGTTAGTAAGACCCTGTCTCTAAAACCAAATGCAAGCACAAGGGCTGAGGGTGTGGCTCAGTGATTGAGTGCTTGCCTAGCATGTACAAGCCCTTGGGTTCATCTCCAGCACCACAAAAGAATAAATAAAGAAAAATTTAAGTAAGACTTTTTAAAGTCTTATTTTTTCATCTCTGAAACTGGGATGTGAAATTGGGAAATGGTGGTGAGATGTGGTTTAATTGGCCATGTAATCTCTTTTGTAGTTTCTTCATCAAATAATGGGGGATCTTAAAAATCAGTGGCATCGTAGATTCTAGGAAATACAGTAATAAAGATGCCTGTTGTGTGAATGGCGTCATCTCAGAGCATGTGCCCTTGTGCAGTATACAACATGGGCAATCATCTGTGGCCACCCTGCCTAGACCTTACATGGTGATAAGTGACAAAAGAGGAGAAAGAATTTCTGAGGAAGGCCTCTAACTAGGGTATGCTGTCCCTAACACCTCAGCACATGTTCACTTGCTTCTACTTCCTTTGTCCCCCTTGGCAGGTGACAATAAACTTGGATCAGTATATCTACATGCAGTTCTGGGCCCTGGGCCAGCGAGTTGGGCAGATGCCCCGTATGTCCAGTGTGGGCTCCAAGCGCGGCTTCTTCACCAAGTTGCCTCCTACAGAGAGGTGAGGCGGCCCTTGTTCCCCAGCTGCAGCAAGAGGGAGCGAGGTTAGAGTCGAGAGGGGACTGACAGGTCAGTGTCTGGCTGTGGGTGTCTGGGATCTGGGTGGGAAGTCCAGAAAGTGGGAGGTGTGAATTACCAGTAAATTGCATTTTCTTCCCAAGGGAAGACAAAGGGATAGGGCTCATTCTGCCCATTTTCCAAATGAGGAAAATTAAGGATCAGAGAGGGAAGGCCACAGCCTGAAGAAGAACTCTAATGGACAACCTATGGATCCAATAATAGGGGACGGATAATTTAACTAATCCCCTATTGTTGGACACACTGCTTAGTCCCGACTTCCCTCCTGCACTGATCAATAGCTTTCACAAGGCTGTGCACAGACTGTAGAGCTGCAGTGAGCCTCAGGGCCAGTCCCGAGCCTGCCGGTCCCTCCGCCCCTCAGGAGATACTTTAAGCGTGTGGTGCTGGCGGCCCGGACCAAGCGAGGGCACCTGGTTCTGAAGAGCTTCAAGGACACGCCGCTGGAGGGCCTGGAGCAGCTGCTGCCGGAGCTGAAGGTGCGCACGCCCACGCTACAGCGCGCGCTGCTCAACCTCACGCTGGTGGTCTCCGGGGTGGTGTTCTTCGTCAACGTGGGCATGGTGGTGTTGTCAGACCTCAAGATGGCCACCTCCCTTTTGCTGCTGCTCTTTGCGGCCTTCATGGGCCTGCGGGCCTCCAAGGTGAGCGCCCAACCGCCTGTGTCCCTGCTGCTTGGTGTCGGCCATGCCAGGCCACCCTGGGTGCTTCTGTTCTGTATTTTCTTTTTGGTTTGGGGATTGAACCAGGGTCTCCCACATGTGAGGCAAGCTCTCTACCACTTGAGCCACACCACCAGTCCTTTTGGTTTTAGTTCACTTTTTCAGACAGAGTCTAGAGCTAACTTTGGGTAACCTTGGGCCACAATCCTACCTCCACCTCCCGAGTAGCTTTACAGCTCAGGATTACAGGCGTGTGCACCACTGTGACTGGCTGGCTGTGTGACCTTAAGCAGGTTGCTTAACCTCTCTGTTCCTCAGCTCCTATATCTGCAATATGGGGATTAAATGACAATATGCATGTAGGGCTGACAGCAGATCCTGGCACAGAGCACAGGAAGTACTTGACGAGAGTTTATTGATTGGACTCTTTGTTTCCTGAGTTTTCATTCCAGCCGGGTGTCCTTATTACTAGGGGAGCTGGTTCCTAAATGCTGGACTGTAGCCCAAATGAACTGAATTGGAGACTGTGGGCCTGGGGCCCAGCAAATTGTATTTTTAACAAGCACCCTTCCTGATCCTGCGCCACGTGAGTGAGGACCGTCTTGACAGTTCCCAGGCTGTTCACTATCTCAGGATGCTTGGCTTGGGGGTGGCGGGGAGCCTGCGCCCACCTTGTGCTCTTCTTTCTGAGCTGTGTGCCCTGTCTCGAGGCTGAGTGGGCCAAGATGCCTTTTCCTGGCTTTCCCCAGGTTGGCACTGGCCCCACGAATGTGCCCTGGTGTGAGTTATCCTTTGTACCTGTTACTTCCAGGCTCATTGGTTTTCAAGCTGTTTTCAGCTATCCTGACAGGTTCTCGGGAAGACTGGCGATAAATCCCACAGATAAAAGCAGGCTGGCTGGCTTTGAAGGTGTTAGCAGTGCGGTGACTGCTCAGGACTGGGGCTCAGATGGTAGCAGACTTATGAGGAGGACTGAAGCCATGGAGACAGGACTGGGGGAGCATCATTGTTGGATCTGTGAAGCTGGAGACCAGGGGAAGGTCCAGAGGGTGGCGAGGGCCTTGGATGCCCAGAGACAGGCACTGAGCTTTATTCTCAGGGCAGCTGGGAGCTGTGGCAGGTAAGCAGGGAGGAACTGTGGTGACCATGGAGAACAAAGAGGAGGGGGGTGGCTGAAGGCCAGTGAAGTGTGTCCTAGGTTCTGGAGAGGGGATACAGAGTTGCAGCCCATGATGGGCTGTGACTTCCACTCCTCAGTGGTCCTAGGGGGCCACAGACCCTCTCCAGCTCACTAGAGAATTAGCTCGGTCACTAAACCTTTTCCCATGTCCCTGACCAGGGCCCAGCCCTTACCTGTGGGCCACCCAGGCTCCCTCCTAGCTGTCCCCACTTCCCACAAACTTTTCCCTTCCCGTGCTTCAGTCGCTTTTGGGGTCTGTCTCCCCTGCAGGCCCCTTTCCCAGTCCCTTCTGTACCCATGTGCACCATATCCCGCTGAGCTGGCATCCTCCCCCAGTTCCTGTCTTGTTTTGGCCTCAGCTCAGATCAGACCAGTGGTGGGATAGGGCTCCTTTCTTCCCCGCAAGGAGCCTGAATACTCCTGTGTTTTCATGGCCAGTTCTCTGCCATCCACAAGCCAGGGCCAGGGCTCCAGTGCAGCCTGGGGCAGCCCACTCAGGGACTGGCTTTCCGGCTGGCCTCACAGTCAATTCATGGCTTCTCCCTGACCTGCTCCTTTGGTTCTGGCACCCCATCTATGGATAGAGGGCTGTTGTGCCCATAGAAAAGTGCTCTACACTGAGCCATGTCCCAGCTCTTTTGTTTCTATTTTGTTTTTGAGACAGGGTCTCACTACATAGCCCAGGCTGGCTTCAAATTTGCAATCTGCCTGCCTCTGCTTCCCAAGTGCTAGTATGAAAGGTGTGCTGCACCACACCTAGCAGGTGCGCTGTCTTGTTTGCCCTCTTTCTGGCCTCCTTAGGACCTCCCCCATTCCCTACATGACCCAGCGTTGGCCCTGCCCTGTTAGCAGTTAGGCATCTGGCACCTGACCAGGCACTGGCAGCCTCATTAGACACGACCTTCACCTGCATCCTTGGCATGCTTGTGGCACCTCTCTCCTGCCCGTCCGATTCCCTTCTCTCCCTGTCATTGGATGTGTTCTTACTTCAGAGTGAAATGTCCTTTTCCGCCTCCTTGGACTGGCCACCCCTGCCTACCCCTCACCTTCAGCCCCAGACTGCCTGTTCCTGGCAGCCTCCCTGGACCACTCAGGCTGGGACTGGGCTTCTGAAGACCCTGCTACACCGTCGGCTTCCCCTTGGCCCAGCTCAGAGCAGGCCTGGCAGTTCAGAGATGCAGGGGCCCTTCTGTCCTGGAAGGAGGTTTGGGGCCCACTGATGCAGTGGTTATGTGCCTAGTACAGGTGGTAGCAGGTACCACAAGAGCCTGAGAACGTACCTGCTCACCTGGGGGTAGCCATTGCTGCCTTGAGGGCAAGGCCTGGGGGCCAGGGAGAGCAGGGTGTCAGAAACAGCTGGTGTGCCTTGTATGCATTCAGAGTGGGGGTGTGTGCTTGGAACTGTAAAGTCTCTAGGGGCACTGGGGAGCCATGGGGGGTCCGTGTGCAGGGGAGGGGCAGGCTCAGCTCTGGAAGTGTGTGGGACAGACTGGAGGAGGGAGACTGAGGCAGGAGGGGATAAACCCAAATCAGGGGCTGAGCTGTGGGGCTCAGGAGAGGTGATTGGGCAGAGAGTCAGGGGCAGCAGGAAGGGGTTGGGGACTGACAGACTAGCTAGGAAGATGGGTCAGCATGGGAACTGGTGAGTGTCAAAAGGATCATCCAGGTGGCAGGTGGCAGGTGGCAGCCGCTCTCTAGGGACCCCTCTGGCTTCATCTGTGTGTCATGGAGCCAGCCATGTGACCTCCTTTCACATGGGAGAATTCAGCTGCGCACCTGGCAGAAGAGGCAGAAAACCTAATGCATTTTTCATGCCAGAAGGTCCTGGACCCGCTATTCCTGCTTACTCCTGCTTCTCGCCTTCAGCCAAGGAAATGGTGATTCGTTCCAGTGCTGGGACACAAACGGAGGGTGCTGGGCTTTTAGAAGGTCCTATGCCAGCTGTGTCAGCGATGTTCTGGCTGTGCCTGTGTCAGTGGTGGCACCTCTGGGCAGCCAGCACAGGGTGGGGACCGCTCCCTAGTAGCTATGTTCAGGGCTTGTGACGGGCCAGACTGTGTCCCCGGCATTCCATGATCTGTGTATTGGCTTCCTGAACCTTCCCAGAGCCACCCCTGCTTTACAGACTCTGCTACCCAGGGACAGAGCCTAAACCAAGGGCTCACAGCTGGTAGGGCATTGTTGAGACAGGCACCCAGGGCTGGCTGCAGGCCTTAATGACCTTGAGCTCGTTTAGTGGGTGAAAGGAGGAATCCAGGCCCGGGTTTCCAAGGGGGGGTGTCCTTGGAGACACCAAAGGTGAGGAAGGGGACATCCAGGCACACCTGGACCCCAGGCCTTCCCCTCCCCTCATTTTTCTTCCCTTTTCTGGACCCTGCTGGGATGAACCCAGGGCCCCACCCCCAGCCTTCCACGCACTTCTCTACAATTCAACAGCTTACACCTTTCATTTTTGGGAAAGTTTAAACAAAGGCAGAAAGAATTGTAGGTGGACTCTCATGTGCCCCCACCATGCTACAATCGGATTTCATCCAAAGACCCCTTCTCCTCCCTCCTCCCCGCACCCCCACATTGAAGCAAATTCTAGACATGTCATCTGGACAGAAGAAAGTAGGTCTGTAAAAGACCTACTTACAAGGCCCAAACTCATATTGTTTGGAAATCTGAGCAAACCCTGGCGCAGGGCAAGAGAGTGGCACTCGGGAACCGGAGGCAGGAGGATCCCAAGTTCAAGGCCAGCCTGGGCTACACAGCAAGCCCTATCTCAACACACAGCTCCCAGACCCCGGCCGTGGGGACCCGAGCTAGAGTAGGGCGCTGTGAGTGTCTGAGCGGCACGGAAGGGTCGTGTCCCTCCCCGCTGAGCCCGCGCCGCCGTTCCCACAGATGTTCGGGCAGCGGCGCAGCGTGCAGGCGCTGGAGCTGGCGCACATGCTGTACTTCCGCAGCACGTCCAACAACTCGGAGCTGCTCAGCGCGCTGGCGCTGCGCGCGCAGGACGAGCACGCCAAGGAGGCGCTGCTGGCGCGCAGCTTCCTGGCCCGGCGGCCCGGGGGCGCGCACGGCCCGCCCGAAGGTAGACCCCGCCCCATCCCACGAGGCCCCGCCCCTCCCTGGTGGCCCCGCCCCCGGGAGGCACCGTTTCCGCACTGTGGCTCCCTCGAACCAAACCCCTAGTTGCCTCTGGTGAAGCTGCTGGATTTGCAGCCGTTGATAGCTAAGAGTCCTGAATCCAATTTCTGATCTTCGTCCCTAGTGTGACCCCCGCCTCGATGAGGGGGGGGTCAATGCCTCGTCCTGCACTCCTTGCTCTGCGTGAATCCACACTCTCCGCACAGGAGACCTTGTTCTCCGCCCAGGGCGAGGGGTGACTGGCTTGTTCTCAGATGAGGGCCCCAGAGCTGAGATTCCTAGGCCTTGTTCCACTCCCTTCCAGGCTTCTCCCAAACCCGGTCCCCCTATCACTGGCCCCTCCAGCTTGAACCGCAACACCTGCCCCTCTCCCTGCAGAGACCTCCAGGTGGCTGCAGTCGGAGGTGGAGAGCTGGCTTCTGGCCCAGTCAGGCTGTGACGTGGCCTTCAACGGAACCCGGGCCCTGGCTCACCTGCAAGCCCTTACCCCCAGCATAGGGCTGTACCCTCCCCCAGATTTCCCCAAACTAGATCCGCTGACTCCAGGCACTTCCGAGACACCCCGGGCCGCACCCAGCAGTAGCCACCCCTGATTGTCCCGCCTCGCCACGACAAGCTGTCCATCACGGCTACTAAACTTAGTCACCTTCGAACTTCCATTACTGACAAGTCATTATTTTTGCTACAATATATACTTAAAGCAACCAATCGAGGCAACTGGCAGTTGCTAGGCAACCCTCCTTGAGGGACAGCCAATCAAAGCTATTTAGCCCTGCTTGTATTGCATTTCTTAGTCCCACCTCTGCCATAAACATCCAGACGCAGTTTGGCTGAGGAAGGGAGGGTGTCGTTTAATCACAGCTGTTCAGCTCCGGCCCCTGTAAACCACCAGGCCGAGCTGAGAAAGCTGTTCCCTCCCGAGGCCATATATCATAGTCTTTTTAGCCTGCCCTGGGCAAATTGCCCACCATGTGCACCTGGGCGGGGCCCCACCCGGCAGCCAATGAGAGCGTTTTGGCCCCCTGGCAAACAGCCAATGACAGCTGCTGGGCACCATCAACCTGGGGCAGCCAGTTGTCTCCACAGAGAAGCAACCAATCAGAGTTTCCAAAGGAACCCGATCTTTGTATCCATTGCTGCTGCTTGTGGGCCATCTGGTCAACAGATCCGGGTGTCAGGCTGAAGGGGCCGGGAACCGTGTGCCAGGCAGAGAGCAGTGGGCCTGGAGGAGCCAGGACTTGCTGCAGCTCAGGCTTCCAACAACCTCAGGTGCCTTCCCTGCCTGGGTCCCTCACCCTCGCTGCAGAAACTACCTCGGCCTCAATCTCTCCACCATCGGTGCACTGTGCAATATTTATTGTCCTATCATTGTCTCCCCTGTACCATCTCCCAAAAGAATAAATCATGTTTAATAAGTATGGAGGAGTAGGGTGGCTATGGGAGTTTGGAGGAGGGGAGGCAGACAAAGACCTGAAGTCTTAGAAGCTGGTTTTGTAGTGTTGAAACACACTGGGTCACAGGAGAGGACCGTAGGGCCCGATTCATGAGGAGAGGCCCATGTTCTCAGAGTTTGGGTCTCACAGGGAAGACAGTGTAGCATGGGCTGTTGAACAGATTGTTCACTGCACCAAAGCATACAACCAGGGAATGAATGGCGGTTAAATCCAGCCCGGGCTCCACTGTGTCCTAGTGTGGGACAGGCAGGGGGTCAGCCAGGAGGAGGAGTGTGTTTCCAATTTTTTTTTGCTAAGGTGTCATATGTGCTAGAGACAGCCTTTGGGAGGGGAGAGGAAGAGGGAAGGGTTGGGTTCTAGCGAGAAAGGGAGACTGGTTTCCAAGAGAAAAATTCTCTTCCCACAGGGAGGGTCAGAGAGAAGGTAAAGACATGAGACCAGTAATTTAGAAAGAAGTTGAGGTGTTGGGGGGGAGAGACACGGGGACAAAACCTGAGGAGGGACCCTCCAGACTTGAGTCTCCCCAGCAGGTTGGCTAGGACTCATACTCCTCGTTACTGCCTACTAGTTTCTGAAGGTCTAGAGTCAGGTGCCCCTCAGGGATCATTTGAGAAGGAGATGGGGCTCGGGCTGGGAAAATGGGGGAGGGGCTCACACTGAGCATTCTGAGTGTGGGGTGGCCCCTGAGCCCCTGGAGACTTTAAGAAGAAGGAAAGAAGAGGTGCACTCAGAAGCCCGTGGTTTAACGCTTTTATTTTCTGGAGGGTAGGCGAGGGCTTCCTGGCGGGGCTGCAGGGCGGGGCGGGACTCACTCCCGCTTCCGCAAGTGGATGTAGATGATGCCGCTGACCAGGGCGAGGGGGAAGGCCACCCAAGCCAGGGCGAAGCAGTAGCCGAAGCTGCCTCCGCGCGGGTGCTTGTCCAGGATCTCCTCGGCGTGAATGGCATAGATCAGGGCACCCGAAAACACTGTCACGCCTGCGGGAAAACGGGGACCGGGTCTCATGCGGAGCCCGCGAGAAGACTACATTTCCCACGCACCCCCGCGGCTGCCCCGCTGCCTGCTGGGAGTCGTGGTTCTTTTCCCCCCAGCTCGACAGCGGACTGGCCCTGATTGAACTCATCCTTAAAATGGGACCTATCGTAACAGCCACCCATCCATGGAATATAGTGGGCTTCAACTCAAGGCTTTGCATTTACTAAAGTGCTCTACTACTTTAGCTACACCTCCAGCCCCAAAAGGAATTTTTTGACTTCTTTTCTCTCTTCTTTTTTTTTAATGAATCTAGTGAAATTAGTAAAATGTAAGAGGATTTTGGGGAACCTAGGAAGATGTTTCCAAAAGAAAGGACTACGATTCACTTAGTTCTTTGCACTTGTAGTCAAATAATTAAAAAGTAGCCTGGTGCTGGTGGCTCACGCCTGTGGCTCACGCCTGTAATCCTAGCTACTCAGGAGGCAGAGATCAGGAGGATCGCGTTTAGAAGCCAGCCCGGGCAAATAGTTTGAGAGACACGCCCCCCCCGCCCCCACAAATAACCAGAGCGAAATGGACTGGAGGTGTGGCTCAAGCAGTAGAGCGCCTGTTTTACAAGCCTGAAGCCCTGAGTTCAAATCCTAGTCTTACCCAAAAGAAAAATTTTAAAAAATAAAAACAGATCAACAGAACTAGTTAGGCGTGATGGTACACGCCTGTAATAGCAGCTCCTTGGGTGGCAGAGGATTTCAAGTTTGAGGCCAGCTTAGGCAACGGTAGGTGCAAGACTTTGTCTAAAAAGCTTGATGCAAACAGAAGGGCTAGGTGGGGCTCAAGTGGTAGACTTTGCATAGCACGCAGAGGGAGGCGGGGAGTGTTTGATTCATGGTAGGTACACAAGAAATAACAGTTGTCTGACATCATGATGATTCAGAGCTCCCTCTGGGGTATTCATTAACTGCTTCCATCCCTGGGACCCAAATTTTTTACCGATACTCCGTTCTTCAGTTCTGGCTCCGAGAAGTCAGAAGTTCTCCCATGACTCAGAAATTCTTCAAAACCACACCAAGAGTCACCAAAAACTACAACTCCCACCACTCCCTGGGGCCAGAGAGGTAGCCTAGGGTCACCTGAGGGTGTCTGAGGGAAGCTGAAAATTGTTTCCTTTCCCAATTGTCCCTTCTCAGGGCCCGGGTAACCGGGAACTCAGTTCCCAGAGCAGAGTGTGGGGTAGGACAGTGCTTACTGGTACAAAGCTGGCAGAGGCCGGTGGCATAGAAGAGCCCTCCTCGTCGCATGGTGTACAGCTGAAACATGAAGAGGATGAAGGACAGACAGCAGAGGATGAGAGAAAGTACCATGAGGACCTGCACCGCCTTCAGCCAGCCTGCGGGAAGGAGGAAATACCAATGAGACACAACCTGGGTGCCGTGGCTCACGCCTGTAATCCTGGCTACTCAGGAAGCAAAGATGGGGAGGACTGCGGTTTGAGGCCAGCCCTGGCATAAAGTTTGAGAGACCAAATTTGAACCAATGGCTGGGTGTGGTGGTATGCACCTCTCATCCCAACTGTGTGGGAAGCACAAATAGGACTGTGGTACAGGCTAGTCTTGGCATAAAGCGAGACCCTATCTCATAAATAATCAAGGCAGCTGGGTGCCGGTGGAGACGGTATCTCGAAAATACCCATCACGAAAAAAACAAAACAAAACAAAACAAAAACACCCAAAACAGATGGGAGACAGCGTGCCCAGTTACTCCCCTCTATCCTCTCTCCCATTTAACTGTCACTCGAGTTCAGATTCTTAGGGGGATTAAGTAGATGACATAGTCATGTGGTCCTGCTAAATTCCCTTATCTGTTCTACTGGTTACTTTGCACATTTTGTTGTGGTGGTGGTGGTGGTGGTGGTGGCAGCTTTGTTTTTTGTTCTGAGTCAGGGTCTCACTATATGGCTGAGGCAGGCCTTGAACTTGCAATCCTCCTCCGAAGGCTCCCACATACTGGGGCACAGGTGTACACCAGGTGCTTTGCAGATTTGTTAGGATTCAGAAATATGTCAACTAAGATGAAACACTTTTGTTTTGGTGGCGGTGGTGGTTCTGGGGTTTGAACTTAGGGGTTTGAGACACTCAGGCGCTCTACTACTTGAGCCACACACACCTCAGTCCTTTTTGCTTCAGTTATTTTTCAGATAAGGTGTCCTGCTTGTGACACGATCTTCCTACCTCCATCTCCCCAATAGCTGGGATTACAGCAGCTCCCCCCCCCCCCCCCCTCCCCCCGCCCCCCCCCCCCCCCCCCCCTCCCCGCTCCCCTCCACCCCCCCCCCCCCGCTCCCTCCCCCCCCCTCCCCCCCCCCTCCCCCCCCCCCACTCCCCTCCCCCCCTCCCCTCCCCCCCCCTCCCAACCTCCCCCCCCCCCCCCTCTATCCTCTTCCCATTTAACTGTCACTCGAGTTCAGATTCTTAGGGGGATTAAGTAGATGACATAGTCATGTGGTCCTGCTAAATTCCCTTATCTGTTCTACTGGTTACTTTGCACATTTTGTTGTGGTGGTGGTGGTGGTGCAGCTTTGTTTTTTGTTCTGAGTCAGGGTCTCACTATATGGCTGAGGCAGGCCTTGAACTTGCAATCCTCCTCCGAAGGCTCCCACATACTGGGGCACAGGTGTACACCAGGTGCTTTGCAGATTTGTTAGGATTCAGAAATATGTCAACTAAGATGAAACACTTTTGTTTTGGTGGCGGTGGTGGTTCTGGGGTTTGAACTTAGGGGTTTGAGACACTCAGGCGCTCTACTACTTGAGCCACACACACCTCAGTCCTTTTTGCTTCAGTTATTTTTCAGATAAGGTGTCCTGCTTGTGACACGATCTTCCTACCTCCATCTCCCCAATAGCTGGGATTACAGCAGTGTACCACAACACCAGGCTTGGAATAGACACTTTTTCATTATTCCTTTCATTTCTTTTTCTTGCCTTGGCTCCCTCCAGTACAACGCTGAATGTAATGACAGCCAGCCACTTGCTGCGATCTTAAGGGAAAAGCACTTAACCTTCAACGTTTTTTTTTCTTTTCCTGTTGGTGCTCAGCCCTGCTCCGCTCAGCTACACCCAACCCCGCCTTCTTTCACTTAGAACTTTGGAAGGATGCAGCGACATCCTTTTAGAACTCCGATGCTTCTGTCCCCACGCTTTGAGAGTCCCACCCTCTGGGACCTTGGACAAATTGGTCCCAGGCACCATTCAGAACACCAGATCCATGGGGAACAGTTTTATCTTCTCAGAATTTGGGTGGGCGTCCCCCCGCCCCATTTCATAAACCTGCAGCACTTAGCCGCCACCCTCACTGAATCACAAGGCGGCGGGGACTTTTAGCGATTCCTCTTTGACAGGTGCAATTGGTCACCTGATTCTGATAGGTCGGCCGCATGTCAGCCCCGCCTCCTCGCACCAGCCCCACCCAGCCTGGACTCCGCCCCCTCAAACCTTGGGTTTGTACCCTTGGCTGCTGGAGGAACCTGGGGTTTCCCCTACCCTTTTGCAGGTCAGCCTCCCGCCCCTCGCCCTCACCATTCTCGCTGACGTTACTGCAGGCCCACGTTTTGGTGTCGTTGTTCCATGTGCAGTCGTACCAGAGATTCAGGGACTCCTGCCCGGGGAGGGTCCACCAGGACTGGGATGGACAGACAAGGGCAGGGTTAGGCAGCCTGTGGGACTGCTTAGGTGGAGGGGCGGAGCTGGGGAAGGCAAGGATGTCCTAGGCAAGCGGGTAGGGCCAAGGGAAAGGACCTGGCATCTCAGGTAGAGGGTAGCAGGGTTGAGACTGGGAAACTGTGAGTGGGGCCGAGTGATTTTAGAGGAGGGGCGTGAGCGGAGTCTGCAGGAGAGTGATTACCCCCACCCCCCATTGTCTCCCCCAAGAAGGCTTACCTTGTCCAAAGTGGCCACAAAAAGCAGGATGAGGATGAGGATGTGAAGGGCAGACACTACCAGCAGGAGGAGCGACATGGCTGTGCTGGAGGCCTGGGAGGGGAAGTCACGAGATGGAGGCTCAAGGATGGAGGCTGAGGCTCAAGAGGCCTGGATACTGAATCCAGGGGGAGGAGGCTGAGGCCTGGACCCCTGGGTCTGACGGAGGAGGGTTGGGGTCTGGATCCCTGCATCTGAGGGAGGAGGGCTGAGAGCTGGACTAATGCCCTCTAGGAGGAGGAGGTAGAACCCTAGACTCCAGTGTTGCTCAGGGTTAGATGGAGACACGGCCATCACTACTGGTGCAGGATGGGTATGTGTAGCAATGCATCCCTCAGTGCCTTGTCCCTGGGGACATGTGGACCGGCATAGGAAAATTCAACTTTACCCACTTCTCTATCAGGAGCTCGGAGTAGCCTTGGGTGACAGACATCCTTGACTCACACCCCAGCCCTCTGGGGTGGGTACAAGGGGGGCAGGAATGGGTGAGTCATCTGGTGAGTCATCCACTCCCCTGCCTTGAAACACCAGGGAAACCCCAGCCCCTGGCTATGTCCACGAGGTCTCCACCCCACCCTGCTGCCAGACCCGTGGTTGCTGTACACCTTGGGGGCAATGGATGTGTGTGTGTGTGTGTGTGTGTGTGTGTGTGTGTGTGTGTGTGTGTGTGTGGAGGGGAGCGAAAAGCAAGAGCTGAGAAAGCCAGTCTCCCCACAGCCCTGCAGTGTCAAGAAACCCGGGTGAGAGCTTTCCTAGCCTGGAGCCATTCTCATGCACCTCTTGGTCTCTGCCACCCTGGGGAAAGAGTGGACACTCCTGGGAAGTAACTGCAGGAAGTCCTTCCTTGGTACGTGTGTAGGGGGGCGTCTCTGCTGAACCCTCCAAATTCTTGCTGGCCCCACCCCACCCTATATCCCACCACAAGTGCTGAGAGATCACGTCTTAAATTGCTAGAGTTTGCACGGGGCCGAGACTGGAGGGGATCTCCCAGCCTGGGGGTGTCCTTCCCAAACGGCTACACTCCCAAATAAAGAAAGAAATCCCAGCCCGAATAACGGACTGGAAACTTACCGAGAGCCGCGAAAAAAGTCAGGGTTGGAGTCTTGTCCTCGATCGGGCCTCCGTGCCCCGCCTTTCTCCTCCCTCCTTCCACCCCCTCGAGGCCCCCGCCTCCCTGGCCTCCCTCCCTTCCTCCCTCACTAGCTCTCCCTCCGACCTGCTCCCTCCTTCCCTCCGATAACTTTCTCTGTCCCTTCTTCTGCTCACGCCTCTTTCTCTCTCTTCTTTCTCTGCTCCTCTCAATATATACCGAACCTTTTATACCCACCCATACCGCGCCCAGCTGAGGTCTGCAGCCAGTAGGAGGGTTGAGGCACTCGGGTTCCTCATTCTCTCTGTCCCCACCCAGTGTCCCCAGAGAGGCATCTTCTGGGGTTGCCCCCTCCCCCCCAAGATTGAGATGAGAAGTTCTAGGATCCCTGAGGCGGGGCAGATATCAAGGCCGGGAAGATCCTACTGTCAGCCACTTCCCCCCCGCTCCCCCCGCCCCAGATGTTTGCTTTTCTTGATGGAATTTGGGACTGGGTTCTTGGAAGGCAGGAATCTGGGGGAAGAGGGCACAGACTCCTGTGACAGCTTGGGGCTGGTGGAGGTGTTAGAGTTTGTGGGTGTGGGTGTGCGCGCGTGTGACTATCGGGATGGGAGGAAAAGGGTGAAACACTGGAAGGGTTCAGAAGTTAGAGGCAAAGAATCCAAGTGCCACTACTTCCTGGCTGAGTGACTTTGGACCAATTATTTCACTTCTCTGGGCCTCAGTTTCTTAATCTGTGTAGTGGGTATAATAATATTGGCACTATACTGTCAGTCAAGGAAGTAGAGTGAGAGATGGAGGTAATGACTGGGTAGGGGAACACTGAAAGAGGGTAATCAGGGAAGGGCTCCTGGAGGAGGTGACCTTTTGAGCTGAGACCTGAGGACAGGAATTTTGTGCATGCTGGGAAGAAGGGGAAATGTAAACTATTGAGAACAAGCTCCTGTTTGTTTGGGGAGCAAACAGAAGGGCCAGTGTGGCTGGAGTTTGGAAAACTGGAGGGAGTGGTGGGGAGGGAAATCAAGGCTGCCCTTGGAGAGTAAGGGAGGAGTTTGGATTTTATTCTAAGTGCAGTGGAAAGCCATTAGAAGGTTTTTAACAGAAGTCAAGTAATGGAGATTTAGTGTTAAATATTATTATTGATTCTTGGGATATCGAATTAAGGTATGTGGGGGCCATGACCACTATGCACCTGGATCTTTTGGAAGGGGACCAGGTTTCTGGGGTTCTGAGGAATTGAGAACTGGGGATCTGGATGATGGGATGTCTGGGTATCTGATGGAGCCAGAGCTGAGTGTGGATTAGTTAACTGGGTGTGAGGGGCAGACAAATCAGTGACTGGGTGGGTACCTGGGAGACTCAGATGCTAGGGTACCTGCATAGTACAGACGCCTATGGATTCAAATTCAAGCTGCTTTACTCATCGCCTGTGTGATTCTGGGTGAGTTACTAATAACCTCAGTTTCTTCATCTGTAAAATAGGCGTAATAGTACATCATAGATTTGTAATTCTTGAAGTACTGTATGGCTACTTATATCAGGCATTGGGACAGTGAATGGATTCAGGAGTCTCTGGGAATTGGGGAAAGGGAAAATTCTTGGGTCCACTGGATCCCAAGGCTAAAAGTTTGGAATCCAAAATGAGGGTCCCTAGGGAAGAGGGATTGGTGCCAAATTTAAATTCCTGGAAAGGCAGAGACTGGGGATCTGAATTCCCATCCTAAGGAAGTTAGAAAGTCTAGGTCACTGAGGGAAAAATTAGAAGTTGGGAGATGGTGTCATGTGCTCCTCTGGGAGTTGCAGGGAAAGGGAGCTGCACCCCAGTTCTGGGAAGAAGTAGGGGAACCAGAAGCTGGTTAGATGGAAACTTGAGCTGGGGAGGTGGGGGATTTATCAGTGTAACACTCCAAGCTCCCCCAGTTGAATCTGCGTGGGACTTGGGTATCCGGGGGAGGAATTTTTTTGTTTTTGGAGGGGGGGTGTCCCCGACCGTGGCGCTCTCTGGAAGGAAGAGAATCAGGGGACCCGAGGGTGGTGCCGGGATCTCCCCCCTCTCGGGCCTCTGAGGATCCGAGCCGAGCTGAGCCTCCGCGGGCCGCTTCCTCCCACAGGAAACCGCAGGCGTCGGACACACCCAGCCTGCAGGGAGAGGCGCCCACTGCCCGCCCCGGGGAGACCCACGTGGGCAGCAGCGGCCGCGGAGGGGCGTGCCTAGCGGACCAAGGGGGCGTGGCCAAAACGGGGGCGTGACCATAGAACAACACGGAACACCCGAGGCCCCGCCCACTTCACTTCCTGAGCGGACCTGGTAGGGGGTCCAGGGCTTTAGGCGGCCTCTGGAAAGCCGTTGGCCGCGCATGCGTAGTGAACCCCTGTGAGGTCCTCAGGCAGTGGTGAGCGCCCTTCTGTCTTGCAATTCCTGCCCTCGACCCCGCCTCCTTAATGAATTCTCAAAATAACGTGGTCTTAGCCTCAAGCACGCATTTTTCGGACCTGTCTCGAAGGACCACTGCCTAGCCCCAACATTTTCCAGACGTTTCCCTCTAGGCACTTTCAGTTCCTGCCTCCCGCAAACCCATAGCCCGCCGTTCACAGGCCCTAGAGACTCCTGAGACCCTCAGGGCCCCGTGTTCCCCACACAGACCATCCTCATCTCCTACAAGCCCTCCTGAGCGCCCTCTGAGGAGCTTGCCTTCCCACATCATTGCACCCCGCATCTTCCCTCTCGCAGGGCCTCAAGTTCTCCCAACCCTGCTTCTGAAGCCCCGTCCTTACAGCACCGGAGCCCTGCCCCTTCGTTAGCCCCGCCCATAGCCCTGCCCCCGTTCATTACGGATCATTGGCCCCGCCCCTTTCACTACCAGAGACCTGCCCCTTGCCCCGCTCCTACAGGTCCCTAGCCCGCCCTTCCTTGCCCCACAACTCTGCGCCTCGCTAACCACTTCAGCCCCGCCCTTTATAGTAGTAGAGCTCCGCCCCTCGCCCCCTCCCATCACAGGACCCTGGCTCCTCCCCTGCCAGGTTCCCGAAGCCCCGCCCCTCGCAGTTCCCGGGAGCCCCACTCTCTATAGGTGCCACGCCCCTTGCGGGGCTCCACAGCTTCCACAGCTGGTTAATCTAAGTCGTCTCCCAGAGTCCCCCGGGTCTTCCACTTGCGGTCTCCTCCGCCCTTCCTCTCCCCTCCTCCCCAGTCTCTCCTCATGGCCTTTGTCCCTCCCCTCCCCCTGGTCCTCGGGCCTCATTGGTCCCTTATTTCCCCAGTAACCAGACCACAACAGTGAGCTTGGAGCACCAAGGACTGATCAGGCACTCCAGCAGGTAGGGCTGAGGCCTGGCACCAGCATCTCATATAGCTGATCGGGGCTTCCCCGTCCTCTGTGACCAAGCAACCTGACCTCAGAGGTACCGAGAGCCAGACCAGGGACCAGAGTCAGAGTCAGACATAAGACCGAATGGGAGGGGTGTGTGTGTGTGCAGTTGTCTGCGAGATGTCTCTCTCCAGCCCCCTTGCAGGAATCGAGTCTGAGAGAGGGGCCAGAGTGGTTTTAGGGTCGCCCTCTTCCAATTCCCAGTCCCTCGAGGTCCGCCCTTGTCCGGCCCTGGCCTGCCCACTCTCTGATGGCTCCCGTGTCCGCCCCTACAGGAGTCCCACCCTCTGGTCAAGATGCCTTTGGGCCTCTCTACACGGAGCATCCGCTCCGAGGAGGGAAGCGAGGTCTTCCTGGAAGGATTGGGTAATGCATCCATTCTTTCTTTCGTCTACCGGTTCTTGTCCTGTCCTCAGCGTCCCCACGGTTCAGATGCTGTGCAGTGGGACGGGCGGGGGCGGAGAGGTTCCCTTCCCCGAGCACCCTCTAGCCGGGACAGATGTGCGCGGGAATGGAGGTGGCGCGGGGCAGATGGGAGGGGGCCAGGCTGGGGTGGTGGGGTGTGCCAGCAAGACTTACGGCAGCAGGAGATAACTCCTCCCAAGAGCTGCCCAGTGAAGGCTGTTCCCGAAGAGAAAACAGTTAAGAGTAGGGTTTCTCAGCCTTGGCACTGTTGACACTGGGATGGGGAAATTCTCCGTTGTCGGGACTGTCCTGTACTTTGTAGGATGCCTGCCAGCTAAATTCCACCCCCCACCCTCTCCCTAAGTCGTGAAAAATCAAAGACGTCCCCTGACGTAGTCAAACAGCCATGGGGTAGAATTGCTTCTGGTCGAGTACTTTTTAAGGTGGGGAGCTGGTGTCAAGACCGAAGAGATGCGTAGTGTCAGGTCACATTGGGGTCTTTTTTTTTTTTTTCTTTTCTGTACTGGGGCTTGAACTCAAGGCCTACACCTTGAGGCACTCCACCAGCCCTTTTTTCGTGAAGGGTTTTTCGAGATAGGGTCTTGCGAACTATTTGTCTGGGCTGGCTTCGAACCGAAAGCCTCATGATCTCTGCTTACTGAGTAGCTAGGATTACAGGCGTGAGCCACTGGCGCCCGGCCACATTGGCGGATTGAAGAGCTGAGTCACCTTAGGTCTAGAAAGATCCTTGGGAACTGTGTGGTGTGGGGAGGTCAGAGAGGAGACTGGGTGATGGCTCAGGCGGGAAGGGTGAAGCCTGAGCCTAGGGGACAGGCGGGGAGAGTGAAGATACAGAGGAAGAGGGTGAGGGCCTTTGTGGTCCCCGCTGAAGGAAAGGAGGGAGCAGGAGCAATGCCAAGTTTAGGGTGCCAGGGGATGGAGAGGCCTTCCAGGCGCGCCCTCTAGTGGAACAATCAGGTATGTATCCAAACTCGCGGCAGGAGTGAGTTTAGGAGAAAGAACCAGCTTGGTTATAAGGGAGAATGGAGGGACCAGGAAGCTTGACGGGTACAAAAAACTATGTTCTAAAGAGGTGTTGGGGGCTTACCCCGCAGTTTGCGAGACCCTAAGGGGTACCAGAATTTCTAGATCTTGGGGAGGAAGGGGCTGGTGGCCCAAGATCACTAGTGAGTCCCTTGCCGCCTCCCCCCCGCCCCAAATCAGTGGATTGGGAGCTGAGCCGTCTGCAGCGACAGTGCAAGGTGATGGAGGGGGAGAGGCGGGCCTACAGCAAGGAAGTCCGCCAGCGCATCAACAAGCAACTGTGAGTCTGCTCCGGGAAGGAGGGTGTAAAAGGGGCTGTGGGCTGGCCTGTGCATGGGTGGGGGTTGGCTGGTACAGGGTGTGGGGACTTCAGGGTCCCTGAGCTCTGTCCCTGTCTCTCCACCTCTCTGCCATGGCAGCGAGGAGATCCAACACCTGGAGGAAGTGCGGGCCAAACTCAAGATGCAGATCAGCATGGCCCAGAGCCAGGTCAAGCGGCTGGGGGACAGCCAGCGGCTGGAGAGCATGGACCGCCTGCTGAAATGCAGAGTCCAGGTGCAGGCTGACTTGGAGGACCTGCAGGAGCAGACCAGGGCCCTGGACAAGCAGGTGGGTTCTAGAGCCGGCTCTGAGGAGCCTACTCAGAGGCTAAACCTTCCTGAACCTCAGCTTTCCCATCTGAAAAATTAGGCCATCCTCCTGAGCTGGGTGCTGGTGGCTCACAACTGTAATCTGAGTTACTGGGGAGGATCCCAGGTAATCCTCAGGTTTGAGGCCAGGCTGGGCAAATAGTTCTTGAGAACCCATTTCCAAATAACCAGAGCAAAATGGACTGGAGGTGTGGCTCAAACAGTAGAGTGCCTACTTTGTAAGTGGGAAGGCCTGAGTTCAAACTCCAGCCCAACAACAACAAAAAAGATGACAGATGAAAGAGGGGAAGGCAAGAGAGAACCCAAATCAAGGAACTCTCAAAGCCAAAGACTCAACTGGACAAGGCAAGGAATGAAAAAACCAGCCTCAGGCTGGAGAAGATAACTTGCAAAAATGTGTTTGATAATGACCTTGTATCCAGAGTTTATTACAACTCTAAAATGCAAACAAAAGCTTAGCTCTGTCTCAAATGTTGGTGAGGTGGGAGCTGGGGGGGACAATGGACCACCCCCGCTCTTCTGGCAGGAGTGTAAAATGTGTAGCCACTGTGGAAATCAGCCCAGCATTTTCTAACCTGCCCTAGGATCCAGACGTTCCACTCCTAGGTATTTACCCAAGACAAGAGAAAGCATATGTCCATACAAGAAATTGTACGTTAATGTTGGTAACAACACAGCTTTATTGTAAACTCCTAAACTAAAACAATCCAAATGTCCATCAGTGAACAAAAGGATAAACAGATTGTGGTAGGATGGGCTAATGGAATACTACTCACCAATAAAAAGGAATGGAATGCTGAGTGTGGTGGTACACACCTGTAATCCCAACACTCAGGAGGCAGAGACCTGACGATTCTGGGTTCCAGGCCAACCTGGGCTACATAGTGAGACCCTTTCTCAAAGGAAACAAACAAACAAGCAAACAAGGAATGGACTATTGTTACACACAACATAAGTGAATCTCAAAGTAATTATTCTGAGTGAAAGAGTCCAGATTCCACCCCCCCACAGCACATACTAAATGATTCCATTAACGTGAAATTATAGAACATGTAGACTAATCTATATTGACTGAAAATAGATGAAGGGACTGAGGGAAAGAAGTACCAAGGGCATAGGTGATGGGTGTCATCACTGTCTTGATTGTGTCAAAACTTAACAAATTGTGGGCTGGGTGTGTGGCTCAAGTAGTAGAGCATCTGCCAAGCAAGTGTGAGGCCCTAGGTTCAAACCTCAGTGCTGCATCGCCCTTACCAAATTGCATACCATAAATCTGTGCAGTTGGACTTCATGTCATCCCACTTTCAGTAAAGCTGTTACACACTCCTACTTTACACCATAGAAAACCTAAAATTCTAGTTGAATTACGAATCTAAATGTGTAAAAGAAAATTTGAGTACTTTTAAAAATTGGAATAGGGTGTTTTCTATCTTAGGATTTCTTGAACTAGGGGATTCTAGACTTTCTTCATTCCAGGAAGCCTTTACTTTCTCAGTCATTTTTTTTTTTAAGTCTCCAGAGAAATCCGTAACAGTCAGAGGTGTGCTGGGAAACAGCTCTTACAGGGGGAAAAGAGCCTCTGTTTGCAGTACTGTCTGATTTTTCTTTTTGGTGGGCCTGGGGTTTGAATTCAGGGAACCAAAGCACTTGCAAAGCAGGTGCTCTACTGCTTGAGCCACACTCCCACCTCTTTTTGCTTCAGTTATTTTTCAGATAGGGCCTCGTGTTTTTGCTCAGGGCTGGCCTTGACTGTGATCCTCCTACCTGTGCCTCCCATGTAGCTGGGATTACAGGTGTGAACCACCATGCCCAGCCTCTCATCTCCACTTCTGTCCCCTGGCCTTGTTCTGCTAGGATCCTCCATGTGATGGGACTGTGACAACAACAATCCTTTGGCTTCCCCCAAACACCAGGAGAGGAGTCAGGCTGGCTCAGCTCAGGTCACACGTCTGTCTTTAGGCCAGGAACTGTGGTTGTTCAGATCTGGGTCCTATGGCCTTCAGGGGGGTGGGTGAGAACCTCCATCAGAACTACATGGAGGTCTGGGGCATGCCTCAAGTGGCAGAGTGCTGGCCTGGCATGTCCCTGAGTTCAGTCCCTAGTACCATTTAAAAAAAAGATCCAAGCACAGTAGGTTCTGCCTACGCTCCTTGGCAAAAGTTCTCAAGACCCCATCTCAACCAATAAAAAAGCTGGGCTCTGTGGTACATGCCTGTCATCCCTGTTACATAGGAAACATAAAAGAGGATCAAGATCCAGGATAGCCTGGGCATAAAAGTGAGACCCTATTTGAAAAATAACTGAAGCAAAAAGGACTGGCGGCATGGCTCAAGTGTTAGAGCACCTGCCTAGCAAGTGCAAGGCCCAGAGTTCAAATCCCAATACCACAAACAAACACGAAATGCGGAAGTGTGCTGGGGTGGCAGAGACAACCAATGTCAGCCACACTGTCACTCATTTCTTCCTCGGGCTGGGTGTCCAGGGTCACAGACAAGTCCCACCTCTTCCTTTCAGATCCAGGAGTGGGAGACTCGCATCTTTACCCAGAGCAAGGACCCCTCGGCTCCAGCATTCTTCCTGGACCAGAAGGTCAAGATGCGACACCGAATCAAGATCCTAGAGGGCCAGCTGGACAGGGTGAGAGCCGGAGCGGGCTGGGCTCTGTCCCCAGGAACTGTGGAGACCTGGGTGCCAGGGAAGGAGGGCTGGGGGGAGTGTCAAAGAACAGATCCCTGGGGGTTCTGAGCAAGGCAGACCCACAGGCAGTGAGGGTGTGGCTGACCTCACTGTCAGGGTCCCTGAAGAGGGAATAGGGTGGTCCCACCTCTGGCAAGTGTCCTCAGCTGACTGTGGAGGATGGAGGCCTCACGCATACTCTCGCACCCCACCCCACCCCAGGTCACCTGTTACTTTGACATCCAGCTGGTGCGGAATGCGACCCTGCGGGAGGAGCTGGACCTGCTGCGGATAGAGCGGGCCCGCTACCTGAGCATGGACCGCAAGCTGAAGAAGGTCAGTGGGGGCCTGCCGGGGTGACCCCCTCCAGCTCTTCAACCTGCTGCTCCTGCACTCTGGCCTCCCGCCCAAGGAGGGTATTGCCCAGAGCTGCAGGACGACCTTAGTCCAGGGGACAGGCACCTGGAACATTCTGGAGGATGTTTCTAACAGGGAAGAAACTTCAGGGTTTGAGCTCAGGGTTTCATGCTTGCAAAGCAGGCGCTCTGCTGCTCGAGCCACACCTCCAGTCCATTTTGCTCTGGTTATTTTGGAGATGGGGCCTCTAGAATTATTTGCGGCTCTGAGGCTGGACTTGGGCCGGGAGGTTGGCTTCAGCCCCGATTTCTTCCTCCCCTTCTCTCTGCCCCAACCACATGCCAGCAGGGAGTTGCCACCTGCCTGTGACATTTGGGACTCCCACAGCCCTGGTGGCAGTGCTGGAGGAGCCTCCGCCCTAGGCTGGGTTAGGCTCTAGTAAGGCGATCTGATCTCTTCAGCTCAGTCTCCAGGTCTTTAAACTGGATATAACTTGGGTTTGGTGGCGCACATCTGTCATCGCAGCACTCGGGAGGAGGGGGCAGGAGGATGGAGAGTTCAGGCCAGCCTGGGCTACACAGAGCTCTAGGCTAATCTAGGCTGCATGGCAAGACCTACTCTGCTCAGAATAAATAAATAAGTGAGATATGAAGGATGGGGGTGCAGCTCGATGGTAGAGCACTTGTCTAGCTCCCAGGAGGCCCTGGGGACACCCCCAGCATGACAAAAATTAAAAGGAGAGAGAGAGAGAGAGAGAATGAGAGAGAACTATTTGCGTGGGGATTAGTCTCAAGGTTTGAACCTCAAATCTCTGATCTCAGCCTACCAAGTAGCCAGGATTACAGGCATGGCAAGGTGCCACATTTTTACATAAACACAGCGCGCTCATCCGAGTGAGGAACTGTAACACTTAGAATTCTAGACAGCTCATATTTCAAGTTCACCCACTGGCCCAATGACGTCCTTTGTAGCTAATTTGATTTCCCTGCTCCAGCCTCCAGGCCAGGATCCCAGGTTGTAATTGTTTTCCTGGCTCTGTTTGCCTTGGCACTCTACGTCCATGACCTTGACATTGGATGAGGCCCTTCTATGTGGATGTGACTGCTCTTTCTTCGTGATTGGACTGAGGGTCTACACCTTTGTCGAGAATGCTGCAGTGTGGGAGTATGTCTTTGACATGCCATAGCAAGAGGCATCTGATCTCACTGTCCCATAACTAGTGACACCATCTTTGATTACTGAAAGCTGGGCCTGACGACATACGCCTATAATCCCAGCTACTCTGAAGGCTGAGGCAGGAGGATGGAAAGTTTGAGGCCAGCCTGGGCCAAGTTAGTGAGAGCCTGTCTCAAAAACAAAGCAAAAACACAATATAAACAAAAGGGCTGGGGTGTGGCTCAAGTGGTAGAGCGCTTGCTTAGCAAGTACAAGGCCCTGGGATCCATCCACAGTCCCCCCACACCCCAAAAAACAACAAAGAAGTTGATTACTAGCTGGGTTTCTCCAACATGAAGTTTTCCTCTTTGACATGAACAAGCAGCCTGCAGGGCCATTCTTTGTGGTGGTAGAGATGTCTGTCCCTGGCCCTGTTTTCACTGCACCTTTAGCGTGCAGCAGCCATGGGTTCTAAACAGGGCGCACTTCGGTATTTCTCCTTAAGGAGAAGCTCTGGCTCCTCTGGGCGTCGGGGGCCTTGGTGCCTTTCTTACTTTAGTCCCTGTTATAGCCACACAGTTGTTGGTCACCTTGACATTCAGGTGCCCCAGTTCGGGCCCAGCAAGCTGGCTGTGTCCTCTGCACATGTCTTCACTGCAGGCTCTCTGCTCTGTCCGACACACAAAGTATGAGGACCTTTGTTCTTGTTTTGCCCCCGCCCTGCAACTCACTGTTTCCCCACGGAGGCCTGCTCGTTTCCAGCTGCGGGTGGATGTTGGGAAGCCGAGGTTGAGGCACCAAGGGTCCTTATTGCGACTGGGGTGTCACTGCTTGGAGACCCTTTCTCTGCAAGTATTTAAAATTCATGAGGTTCTGTTGCTACCTCAAATACCAGGGCATATATATATATATATATAGACAATACTGGAATTTGAACTCAGGACATCCAGCTTGCTAGGCAGGTGTTCTACTGCTTGAGCCACACCCCCAAGCCCTTTGTGTTTTAGCTTATTTTTCCTGTAGGGTCTCTTTTGCCCAGCATCAGCCTCACATTGAGAGCCTTCTATCTCTGTCTCCTGAGTAGCTGGGATTACAGATGTGTACCACCACACCTTGGTTGTTTTTTTTTTTTTTTTTTTTGAGATAGGGTCTCCCTAACTTTTTTGCCCAGACTGGCTCAAACTGTGACCCTCCTATCTCCACTCACTGAGTAGCCGGAATTAGAGATATGCACCACTAAGCCTGGCTCTTACTTCATCTTACTTTCTCTCGCTCTTCTCCCACTGTGGGAACCCTGGCTTCCAACACCATCAGTATACTCCCTCATTTGCTCAAGTGTTGCTGTACATACCAGAGGCTGAGAACTCCCACAGCTGTGCCAGGCCTCCCCAAACCTAATACGTAGGGCTCAAAATTTGTAGTTTACTCTTTAGCGGGTATGGGTTTCTAGATACCTATTCAGATTATTGTATTTAGAAGTTACTTGGCGTAATTCCTGTTTTTCTCTTAAGATTTGAACTGTTTTTCTCTTAGATTTGAACTGAGGGCCTGCACCTGGAGCCACACCAGCAGCCCTTTTTTTTTGTGATGGGTGTTTTCAAGATAGGGTCTTGTGAACTATTTGTCCAGGCTGGCTTTGAACTGCAATCCTCCTGATCTCTGCCTTCTGATTATAGGTGTGAGCTACTGGCACCTGACTTCTTTTTTTTTTTTTTGGTGGCACTGGGGTCTGAACTCAGGGCCTCTTGCTTGTTAGGCCTTTACCACGTGAGCCATTCCACCACATGTTTGCCGTTTGGAATACAGTCAGATTCATTTACTTCTGTTTGTATTCGGTTTCGGTTTTCTCACTTGTCTTTGTTGATTAAACTTTTTTTTAATTCATTTATTTACATATGAATATATGTAAATTGTTTGGGCCATTTCTCCCCTTAGCCCCGCCTCTCCCTCTCCCTTGATTTAACTTCTTTTATGAATTGTACAAGGCTCCCAAATTAAAACTGTTTCACAAGGGCTGAATGTGGTGGTGTACGCCTGTAATCTCAGCACGTGGGAGCCTAAGGCAGGAGGATTGTGAGTTCAAGGCCTGCCGAGGCTACATAGGGACACCTTATCTCAAAAAAATCAAGTCTGGAGTATCACAGATCGAAGGCAGCCCAGAGAAACAGTTCACAAGATCCTATTTTGAAAAAAAAAAACCCTCCGGAAGAAAAGGGCTGGTGCAGTGGCTCATGGTGTAGGCTCTGAGTTCAAGCTCCATAAAAAAACAAAAACAAAAACAAAACAACAACAACAACAACAAACAACCAAGAGCTGGGATACAACTCAGTGGCAGGGCATCTGCCTAATATGAACAAAGAGCTGGGTTCAACCCTTAGCACGTCAAACAAACAAACAACAACAACAGTGGCTCTAAAAAGTGCCCTGGGGGCATCAATGCCTCTCTTCCACCTCATTCCACCCAGCTCCTGCAGGTAGCCTAGTTCCTTAGCTTCTGTTTATGTATCCCGAGTTTCTTTTTGCAAAAGTCACTTGTATGTTTGGATGTGCTGGCTTAGGTGTGTGTTCAGGTGTATGTATGTGTATGTATATAAAATTTATGTCCTTTCTTCCTCTAAAATGAACCTTTTTTTTTTTTGCTGGGACTAGGGTTTGAACTCAGGGTTTTGCTCTTGCTAGGCAAGCACTCTACTCCTTGAGCCACACCCCATACCCCTGAATAAAGCCTTCTGAGCCACCTTTCCAGCTGTCCCTCTGCCTCTCCCCTTACCTCCCATCTCCTTAAACCCCCTTCTTGGCATCTGCTCTGAGGAGGGCCTGGCTTGCAAGAAGCAAGACGTTCACCTTTTTAAAATTCTGGGGATTGAACTCAGGGCCTTGAGGCAAGCGCTTTGCCACTTGAGCCACACCCCCAGTTCTTTTTTACTTCAGTTTTTCAGATAATGTCTTGTGCTTTTGCCTCAGCTGGCCTTAGATAGACCATGGTCCTCCTCCCTCTGCCTCCTGGGATTACAGGTGTGCATCACCACACCTGGCAGGACTTTCACTTCTTAGTAGGGGCTTAAAGGGAAGACTCAGAGTGAGCAATGGCTCTGTGAGAAGCAGCACTTACCTTTCTCTCCCCCCTGGCAGGAGATCCACCTGCTACGGCAGACGGTCAGCACCCTCATCCTTTCTTCCACCTCTGCCTACTCTGCCAGGTACGCCCCACGGGTCATGCAGGGTGGTGGGGCTCAGAGTACTCAGAACAGACCTTTCACAGAGTACCAGCAGGAAGGCTCAGGACTCAAGAGCACTGTCAGAACTGGCTTATTTCCTGTAATAGGCTCCCTTCTCTCTCCCTGCTGGGCAACTTTCTTTTCCTTGCTTGTATGAACTATTATCATTAATACTATTTTTGGTGGTACTGGGATTTGAACTCAGGGTCTTATGTTTGCCAGGCAGCTGCTCTGTCACTTTAGCTAGGCCCCCAGCCCATTTTTGCTTTACTTTTTTGGGTTGGGTCTCACATTTTTGCTCAGGTCCAGCCTTGGACTTCAATCTTCCTACTTACACCTCCTGCGAGTGGGGGTCTCACTAACTTTTTGCTTGGGCTGGGCTTGAGTGTTGGTCCTCTCCATATCTGCCTTCTGAGTAGCTGGGATTACAGGCTTGAGCCACCACTCCCAGTCCTTGGGCATGTGAATTTTAAGAGTACTGCCATCCCCATCTGTTCATGGCTTCTGTCATGTAAACGCAGAAAGGATTAATATGATGTATGTACAGTGTGCGTGGCAGGCCCTGGGACCCAGAAGGTGTCTGTCAATGAGGAGCATTAGATTATCTATCAGTGGTGGTGGTAGGGCAAACTCTCTGAGGAGGCCACCTTCAAACACAGGGACACGTTGTACGGAGTGGAGCCATTGAAGCTGATTAACTCTGGCTTCCCTGGCTGTCTTGGGGCTCCCCTGGGCTCTGTGCTCCCTCTTACTGCTTCTCTCACAGCTTCAGCCCTGGTCTCCTCTTGCTACAAATTTTTTTTTTTTTTTTTTTTTGCGGGACTGAGGTTTGAACTCAGGGCTTCACACTTGCAAAGCAGGTACTCTATCATTTGAGCCACACCTCCATTCCATTTTGCTCTGGTTATTTTGAAGATGAGGGTCTCATGAACTGTTCTCCCAGGCTGGCCTCAATGCACAATCCTCTGAATCTCAGCTTCTTGAGTATTTAGGATTACAGGCATGAGCCACCAGCGCCTGACTCTTCCAAATGCTTTCTGCCTTTCTGCTCTGGTGCAGGCTAAACAGGTGCCCTTTTGTGTCTGGCTTTTTCTCTTAATATAAAGCTTTTGAGGTTCCTCCACATTGTAGCATACATTACTTCTTTTTTTGTTGCAGTGCTGGGGTTTGAACTCAGGGCCTACACCTTGAGTCACTCCACCAGCCCTTTTTTGTGTTGGGTATTTTCAAGATAGGGTCTCTTGAACTATTTTCCTGGGCTGGCTTGGAACCGTGATCCTGCTGATCTCTGCCTCCTGAGTAGCTGGTACTACAGGCGTGAGTCACGGGCACCAGCTTTGTTTCTTCATTCCTTTCTACTGCAGTTGTGTGATTTCTAATCTTTGTTCCATCATGACCCCTTCAGAAACCACCTTAGCTGGTGGCTTCTGCTCATACCCAGCTCCAGCCTTTTCGCCACTTGGCCTAGCCGTGACTTCCCTTGCCTTCTGTCTAGCATCCTCACTGGTCCTTAGCATTTCCCAATTCAAATTCCAAGGCAGTGAGTCTGATTGGCCTGGCTCATCTTTTCTGCCCAGTTCCACATGATGGCCTGCTTGCCTGCCTTTGTATCTTACGGAGTTAACATCTAGCAACCCTCCTCCACTTACCTGCAGTGGGCAGCCTGGCTGGGCACAAGGACAGGCAGTTTCAACTGGCGGGGAGGGGCAGGTGTCATGACCCCCACTTCCTACCAGAGCAGTCTGTCTGCAGTGTGGTCTTGCTGGGTGACCTGGGGCATGTCCTTACCTCTCTGAGCCTCCACTGATGAGTCTGATGTTATCGGTCTCCTGGAGTCACCATGTGAACCAGGCCCATACAGCCTGGCTCTCAGGAAGCTATGGTTGGCATGGTACCTCAGGCACAGACAGAACTTGGAGTCCTGACCCCTGAGGGCCTTGAGGAGACTGGTCTGTTTTCCCTCCCAACTCAGTGCCCCTGTGATCTTGGAGCAGGCTTGGAAGTACCCTTACAGGTGGCTGCAACAGCCGAGCGGGGGAGGGGATGTAGGGTGAGTGGGGCTCCTAGGGTGTCTCCAGTATCCTAATGGCATGTGTGCTCAAGCAGTGGTGATTTCACACACCTGTCCTCATGAGGCCTCAGGAGGCCGGAAATGAATGGCCTAAGCTTCTCACCGTTCCAACCACACGACCTCCAAACTCCAGCACAATCACCTTGTCACCTGGGCCCTCAAAACCATGTTTTCCCTGTTGCACGGTCACATAATTCCTGGCCCCCAGACGCACCCACGTGTGTGCACTGCAGCTATGGCCCGTCTGTGGGCACAGCCCCAACTCTGCCCTCAAGCTCTTACCATGGCAGTTCTGCCTTTTGTGAGCACGGGGTACCCGGCAACTTGACTGTGCCTCATCCCCAAGACCCCAGGCTGACTCCGGTCCAACCTGCATTCTCCGCGTGCTCGCCGACCTCCCCCCAGGGAGGAGGCCAAGGCCAAGATGGGCATGCTGAAGGAGCGGGCAGAGAAGGAGGTGGCCCAGAACGAGGCCGAGGCACAGATCTTGCAGCGACAGATATCGCACCTGGAGCAGCTGCATCGCTTCCTCAAGCTCAAGAACAACGACCGGCAGCCGGATCCGGACATCCTGCAGAAGCGCGAGCAGCGAGGTAAGGCCGGAGGCGCCCGCTGGACTCGGGGATTCCCCGCGGAGCATGAGGGGCGGGGCCTGACTGGAATGGGCGGAGCCGGGTAGGAGAGGGCGGGTCGGAGCCGGGCGGGAGAATGTGGAGGGCGGGGCCAAGAGGGAGAGGGAGGGGCGTGGACGGGGAGGGGGCCGGGCGGGAGAGGGCGGGGCCGATCCAGCCGGAGGGGCGGGCGTAGTCTGACCGAGAGTGTGGGACGGGGCAGGGCGGAGGCGGACGGAAGCTGGCGGGAGAGGGCGAGTTTGAGCTGAGCGGGAGAGTGGTGGGGGGAGGAGAGGGGTAAAGAGGAGTCGGGTGGGAGTGAGGGGGCGGAGCCTTTCGGGGAGGCGGAGCCGGGCGGGAGCGGGCGGGGCTGACCTACCTGGAGTGGGCGGGGCGGGGCAGGGCGCTGCTGGGCGGGACGGGGTCCCAGTAAGCGGCCCCGGGGGTGCGCACCTGGAACCTATCGCGCCCGCTGCGTCTTCTCCTAGCCCTGGAAGTGGCGGAAGGACTCCGGAAGACCTCCCAAGAGAAGCTGGTGCTGCGCTACGAGGACGCCCTGAATAAACTGTCCCAGCTGACCGGCGAGAGCGACCCCGATCTCTTGGTGCAGAAGTACCAGGAGAGTGAGTGGCACTGAGCGGAGGGAGGAGGCGGGACCGCCCAGCACCCCGTGCGTCACCTGCAGACTGTCCAGGATAGGCCGGGGGACTCCTCCACCTGTGCAGGGACTGGAGTCAGGCCTGGACACGTCACCGCTCGCCTGTCCCTGGCCCCCTCCCCTGCCGCCATCCGGCGTGCTTGGTACTGCCCAGTCTCTCTCCCGCCGGTGTGAGGTCTGTGCCCTTCCGTCTGGGTTTCCATCGCCCTCGGATCTGCATCTGTTTCTTTCCTCATCTCCCCTCCCTCGTTCACTCCCGAGTCTTTCCCTCGACTCTTCCTCCCTTCTCGGTGTTTCTCTCTCCTGTCCCCGCTGCTGTCTGTTTCTTGGGTTCTTTGTTTCCCTCCTTTCCTGCGACTACTTTCTCTGTGCCTTTGTATCTCTCCGTCTCTCTTGGTGTCTCTTTGTGGCTTTCTGTCGCTCTTTCCCTGTGTTTTCATTTATCCCTCTCTCTGTCTCTCTGATTGTTTCTCTGCCTTTGTTTCTGAGTGGTCTTTCCCGTCATCTCGTTCTCTGCCCTTCGTCTCTGCTCTGTGTCTGTTTTCTGTCTCCATCTCTGAGCCCTGCCTTTCCCGACTTCTCCCCAGCTGAAGAGCGCAACTTCGCAGAGTTTAACTTCATCAATGAGCAGAACTCAGAGCTGCAGCACCTTCAAGAAGAGATCAAAGAGGTGAGTGAGGCCCTTCCCATGTTCCCCTCTTCTCTCCCTCCCCAGGCCTGGAGCAGGGTCCAGCTTTCAGTCCTTGTCCCCACAGATGCAGGAGGCCTTGGTCACTCTGCGCACCAGTGAGGAAAACCAGCACTTGCAGCAGGAGCAGCAGCTTACAGTCTTGCAGGAGCATATAGACAAAGTGCACTCTGAGTCCAACCTGGTGGAGACCCGGTTCCAGGACCTTCGGAGGAGGCTGGAGAGGCTCAAGACTGGTGAGTGTTTGCAGGGACCTTCTCCCAGGCCTGTCTTCTTCGTTGGGAAAGTTGAGGTGCTTGTGTGGAGGGGCTCTCTCTGGGGCTGACTACTTGGAGGTATTCCATGGCCTACTTTGTGCACTTCCTTATTAGCCCATCCCATATCTGATTATCTGTCCATCTGGGGTCTGTCAGTCAATGGATCCATCCATCCATCCATCCATGGATCCAGCCGTCTCATATCCATCATCCATCCAACTAACCAGCCATCCAACCAACCATCTAACTATTCAACCATCCTATGTCCATTATCCATCCATCCATCCATCCATCCAACCATCCAATATTCATCAACATATCCTTCACCACCATCTATCCATCCAACCAACCATCCCACCAACAATCCATCCATCCATCCATCCATCCATCTGTCCATCTACCTATCTGTCCATAAATGCCTAGGAGTGGTCATAGGGCCTGTATATGTTGAGATTTATGAGAAAATGCTAAACACTTTTCCAAACTGGTTGAGGCATTTTATGCCTACCGTAGGAGCTGTGAGAGTTCTGGATATGATACTCCTCCTACCCCTCAGCACTTCTTACTGACCACAATTTTAATGCATTTGCAAACTTGCATTTGTGTGATGACTAATAACATTGGTCACCCTACTGGCCATGTAGATTTCTTTATAAATTTCCTCTTCAATCCTGTGCACTTAAAAAAATCAAGTTGTTTATGTTATAACTGAGTTGTAAGTGTTTTTTGTATGTTCTAACTAATGTTTTTTGGGGAGCTATCTTCTCATTATTATTTACCTTCCTACTTTCTTGCGATGAACTGAATTTTATTTTTATTTATTTATTTATTTTTGGCAGTACTGGGGTTTGAACTCAGGTCCTCAAGCTTGCTAGGCAGGCATTCTACTACTTGAGCCACTCTCCCAGCCCTTTTTCAGTTTTTTTTTTGTTCCTTTTTCAGTTTTGATGAGATCTAATTTATCAGTCTCTCTTTTTGTAGTTCATAACTTTGTGGCTTGCCTAAGAAGTCTCTGCCTACCCTGATGTTACAAAGCCATTCTCCTGCAAAGTTTTCTACTAGAACTTTCTTGTTTCCCTGTTGAAGTCTCTGACCCCTTACAATTAATTTGTGTGTGTGATGTGAGGTAGGGCCTTGGGTTTTTTTCCTTCTTTTTTTTTTGGCAGTACTGGGGCTTGATTCAGGACCTCATGTCTGCTAAACAGGCACTCTACCACTTGAGCCACTCCAGCCTTTTTTTGTGATGGGTTTTTTCAAGATAGGGTCTTGAGAACTATTTTCCCAGGCTGGCTTCGAACCAAGATCCTCCTGATGTCTGCCTCCTCAGTAACTAGCATTGTAGGTGTGAGCCACCGGTGCCTAGTTGTTTCTCTTTTCCTCTCTGTGGCTATCCAGCTGCATCATGTCCATCCATATTTCTTTTCTGTTTCTTTTTTGGTGATGCTGGGAATTAAACTCAGGGCCTGTGCTTCTTAGGCAAGTTCTGTGCCACTTGAGCCACGCCTCCAGTCGTTTTGGCTTTCAGTTTGTTTCTCAGATAGGGTCTCATGCTTTTACTCAGGCTGACCTCGAACTGAACCACAGTCTTCCCTACATCTTCCTCCCTACGTCTGCCTCCTGCATAGCTGGAATTACAGGTGTGGATTACCACAGTGTACCCTCATCCTTTATCTTTGTTATTTTCAGGGAAGTAGCTGTGCAGAGCACTCAGGAGTAAGCCTGCACTAGGTTCAAATCCCAGTGCCACTAGTTGTTAACTTTGTCCTGTGGGTTCCTCCTTCTCTGCCCCTCTGGGGTGGCAGTGCTTGCTTCATAGGGTTGTTGCAGAATAAGATGGGATGATGGTGAAAAGCTAAGGATGAAAAAGGATGAAAAGGTGGTTAAGCACAGGCACTGGTGGTTTACGGCTGTAATCCTAGCTACTCAGGAGGCAGAGATTAGGAAGATCACCTTTCGAAGCCAACCCTGGGCAAATAGTTCGCAAGATCCTATCTTGAAAAAACCCATTACAAAAAAAGAGCTGGTGGAGTGGCTGAAGGTGAAGGTCCTGAGTTCAAACCCCAGTATCACAAAAAAAAAAGTGGCTAAGCATGGTGGCGCATGTCTGTAATCCCAGCTCCCTGGGATGCTGAGGCAGGAGAATCTCCATTTGGAGGCTAGGCCAGATAAAAGTTAGTAAGATCCTGTCTCAAAAACAAAGTAAGACTGGAGGTGTGGCTCAAGCAGTAGACCGCCTGTCTAGCAAGCTTGAGGACCTGAGTTGAAACCCTAGTATTGCCAAAAAACAAAAACAAAATAAAATCAAAAAGAAGGAGGGGGAGCGTAACTCAAGTAGTAAAGTGCTTGCCTAGTATGTGTGAGGCCCTGGATTCCATCCCCAGTGCCACAAAAAAAACAGGTGCTCCTGGTGCAGGAGACTCACCATGGGGCATACAGTAGGAGTTTAGATGTAGCCTTTTCTCTGAGTTTACATGTATATCTACATATGCACATATACATATACATTTGCATATATACATACACACATATATTCCCATAGGAAATTTTTAAATCAATTTATAAATTTTAAAAAATAAATTCTACACATTTTTTTTAGGGGGGAAGAAAGAGTTTTACTTAGTGGTCAGAGAATGGAGAAGTGGAACCTGTCCTTGCCTGTCAGCCTGTCAACTCCAGGGAGTTAAGGAGTTACAGATAGAGGATAAAAATAATGAGAGGGAGGGAGGGAGAGGGAGAGAAGGAGAGAGAGAGACAGAGAGAGAGAGAGAGAGAGAGGCAGGCTAAAAAAAGGGAGAAGCATTGATACCTTTTCTGGGAATCGGCAAACATCTTCCAGGAAGTCAAGTGCTGTTTATTTCATGGTCTGGTGTTCTGGTCATGGTATTTGGTAGATATCTTTAGCCAGAATGTTAAGGCCACAAATGAGACAGACATGCTTTGAAGACAGAGATGGCAAGCCTTTTCATCTCCAGTCATCTTCAGTTTCAAGGGAAAAGTCTCGGAAGTCCTCTTCAAGTCCATGAGAAGTAACCTAGGCAACCGTTATCCTAACCCACAGGGCAGAGGTGATGTGGACAGCAAAGCTAGTGGAGACTGGCTTTTTTCTTTCTTTGGTCAGTACTTTTTCCCCCTTGTCTTTCTGTTAGGATAATTTCTATTTACTGGTCTTCAATTTATCAAACCTAAAATTTCATGGATGCTTTTTTTTTTAGTTTTTTTGCAGTGCTGGGGCTTGAACACCTTGAGCTGCTCCACCAGCCCTTTTTTGCAATGGTTTTTTTTGAGATAGAGTCTCTCAAGCTGCTTGCCCGGGTTGACTTTGAACCATAATCCTTCTGATCTCTGCCTCCTGAGTAGCTAGGATTACAGGCGTGAGTCACCAGTGCCTGACTTTTTTCTGTAAACTTTTGATGTATTTTTCACCATTATTTTATTTTTGAATTAGCATACATTAATAACATGAGGGGATTTCACTATGATAATTCCATACATGCGTCCACCCTGCCATTATATTTCCATCCCCTCGCCACTTCAAACAATGCTTTGTGGGTTTCATTATGGATACGTATGAAATATGTATATATCTTCCAGTTTACTGACTCCATGAAGTGAATGAAGTGGTATGTCTTTTTCTTTTTTTTTTTTTGTGGGACTGGGGTTTGAACTCAGGGCTTCACACTTGTACTTGCAAAGCAGTTGCTCTACTGCTTGAGCCACTCCTCCAGGCCATTTTGCTCTGGTTATTTTGGAGATGGGGGTCTCATAATCTCTTTGCCAGGACTGACCTTGAGCCTCCATCCTCCAGATTTCAGCCTCCCAGTTAGCTGGGATTATAGGCGTGAGCCATCAGTGCTGACTTGAAGTCTTATGTCTTGTTTCACAAAGGTTTACTTCTTGCTGTGGTCAGAGAGAGATTGTGTGTGTGTGGGGGGCATGTCCCATTTGATTGAAAGAGTGTTAATCTTGATTTTCCCAGCTTGGGAGAGAGAAAGGAAAAAAATGTCATGCTGGCCAGTAATACAAGCTGGCTACAACTGGAAGTTTAAAAAAATTATTTTTTAAGTCTCTCAGTGTGATTGCTGGACCGGGCAGAAGTTGGGTTTGTTTCTAGCTGAAGTGTTCACAAAGACAAGTTTGGTTATCCCTTGTCCTTCCGAGCCCTGCGGCCAGGTGGCCAGTGTTACCCGGGTATCTAAGCTCAGTCTCTGGGCTTCTACCATGGTCTGCATAGGACAGGCTCAGGGAAAGGGCCGATACCCAGGGGGCAGAGCCGGGTCCCTGATAGCTGGTCCTCCCCGGCCCCAGATATCCAGTTCCTGTTCATCAAGGCCCACTGCGACAGGAGCCTCATAGCCGACCGGCTTGGGGTGAAGAACATGCGGGACCGCGACATGGGCCTCTTCCTGAGCATCATCGAGCAGCGGGTGGTGCAGCTCCTGCTAGTCCAGTCCTTCCTGGAGGCCCAAGTGGGCGGCGGAGGACGGAGGGGAGCGGGGTTGGGGGGGGGTGGTGGGGGTGGTGGTGGTGAGGAGGGGCGGGGTGGGGCCTGGGGGCGGGGCCTGAGCTGACCACTGCCTCCCACACCCTCAGAGCCAGCTGTCCTTGGCTGAGGCTGCCCTCCTGGTGCTGGGCCAGAGCCAAGAGGATTTCCCAAAGAAGATGACTGCACCCCAGCCCCCCAGCAATCTGTGAGGCTGTAGGCAGGACGGGAGGAACAAATAGAACTGAAGATTGTGGGCAGGGGAGGCGATGGTGGGTGTGGCCTGGGAGGGGGCAGAAGATGAAGTGGTTGCTTTGAGGGAACTGAGAGTAGGGCGTCTAGTGCTTTATATGGGAAGATAGAACTCTGGGGGTTCTAGAGAGGAGAAGGACAGGTAAAGATTTTTGGGTATGGCTGGGAGATGCCGTTAACTTTTGTGGTTTGAGTCTAGACTCTTCCTGCCTTCTTTTCTACTCCAGAGAGGATCCCCCCGGTTTTGTGGCCAAAGATGACTATCCTATGAGCAAGGAGGAACTGCGGAGTCAAGTAGTGAAGGAGGTGAGAGAGGGAGCCCGTGGGCTGGGGACAAGGACCTTGTTTATCCGGGGACTCTTAACTGCCCCCCACCCCCAGATGGAGCTCCAGGAGCTGGCGCAGGAGCAGAGACAGCAGGCTGAGGCCGACAGGATGGGGTCCAGCATCCCCAGCCTGTCTTTCTCCAGCACCCGGGTATCCAACCTTGGCACCAGCAAAAAGAGCAATGAGATCCCAGGCTCCATCCTGAGTCACAAGATTAACAAAGGCCAAGGCGCCAGCACCTTGGGCCATGTCACTTTTGGCCTCTCTGAGTCCAGTACAGGCCACGCGACCTTGGACTTGGCCAGTGCCACGGGGGCCCTGGAGTCCGGCGGGGGCCGTGTGACTTTCAGACCTGTCACCTCTAGCAGCTTCCTGGGGTCGACTGGTTATGTGGAGTCCAGCAGAGGAGGCCCAGAGGGTAGAGGCATGGGGTCAGAATCAAGTGGAGGCCCAGGTTCCAGTAGAGGCCAAGACTCGAGTGCTGGCCCTGTTTCCAGCACTGGGCCTGGCTCGACTATTAGTAAAGACTCCCAGGCCTACGAGTAGGGCGTCCAGTCACCACCCTGCTCCAGCCTTGTGTAGGTTTTCTGTCTCCCTCTCCCTTCTTGCGCTGGGACTCTTTCTCTCTCTCTCCCAGCTCAGACCTCTGGCTCTCTTTGCTCCGCCATCTCTTTTCATCTGCCCATCATTGTCATCCCATCTCTGTCCCCTTGGCCCTACCCCCCTGTGGTCCTACTGCCTGGATCTGTTTTCGCATCTCTAGCTCCTGCTCCTCATCTCTCTCCCAGGCTTTCCTGGCATCTGGTGCCCCCCTGGTGTCAGCTCCTCATTCCCCACCCCTCAAAGACCCCCCAGTACTGACTAGCTGGCTGTGACCATAGACAATAAAGATTGGACCCTGACTTTCATTCCATTCATTTTTTTAAAAATTCATTCTTTTTTTGGAGACTTCCATATTTCTGGGTCTACTGGGAATGGTATCAGTCAGGAGAGCCTGGGTTCTGCTGCTGTAACAAACAGCACCACACTCAATGGCTGTGATACAGCAAAGATTTCTTTCTCTCTGGTACTACTGCTTTAGTGTGGCCAGCCAGGAGTTGTGCTCCGCGGGGTAGGACAGCCTCCGTCTGGAGAGGTACAGTCCCTTTGGCCCTGGAAAACAGGCTGCGACTCTTAGAGCTTTTTCCTGGATATGACAGTCACCTTCACTTGTGTTCGTTAACTGAAGCAGTCCCCTCACTGCAAAGGGGTGGGGGTGTGGACATGCTGTATTTACTGTTTCTGGAAGGAGAGAAGGAAGGGATATTTGCATACAGCCCCAATGCCAGCAACAGGGTCTCAGACACTGAGCAGCGGGGTGGGTTTGGGAGTGAGGGGGTTAGGGCATGATGGCTGTTCCTGCCTGTGAACGAGTCATGCTAAATGCTCTGTCTGGTTTAAAGCAAGCATACCCGGCAGGTAGTTAGTGCTTTCAGTCTCGTTCCCCTGAAAATGGTGACAATACTTCATGCCTCAAGATGGGTTTTTTTTCTCATGAGAATAAAATGAGTTGGTACATGTAAAGCCTTAGAGCGAGACAGGTGTGGTGTTGCACACCAGCACTTGGGAGGCTGAGGCAGGAGGATCAAGAGTTCAAGGCCAGCCTGGGCTACATACCAAAGACCATGTCTCAAAAAACAACAGATAGACAAAAAGAAAGCTTAGAGCAGTGCCTGACACACTGTAATGCTGAAAAGTAGGTGGACGGTAAGTGCAGTGGTGCCTCAGGAGCCATGGGAATTTGTCCCAGGGCTCCCATGGATACAAAAATCTGCAGATGGTCAAGTTCTTTATAGAAGATGGGATAGTGTTTGCATAGAACCTACTCACGTCACTCTGCATTCTTGGAATCATCTAGCACACGTCACTCTGCATTCTTGGAATATCTAGCAATTACAATCCCATGGCAGTGCAAATAGTTGTGTTACATTGCTCAGAAAGAAAGAAGTCTTTGTATGCTCAGCATAGACACGATGCTTTATTTTTGGTGGGGACTGGAGCTTGAACTCAGGACTTCAGGCTTTCAAAGCAGTCTCTCTACCACTTGGGCCACACCTCCAGTTTGTTTTGCTCTGGTTATTTTGGAGATGGGGTCTCTCGTGAACTAATTGTTTGTCTAGAACCTCGATCCTCCCAAGTAGCTAGGATTACAGGTGTGCCCCACCAGTACTGAACAGTAGAAGATTTTAAAAAGAAAATTCCTAGTTTGTATTTCTTTACCTCTCAAGTCAAACTTGCTGTTTAAAACTTTCCAAGAAGGGGACAACTTGGATTTTCCCAAATCTTTAATCAAAACACATAAAAAAGAATACATGTAGTGGGACAAAATTATGTATGAGAGACAAATAAGAGACACATTTTGTTCTTATGAATCCAATTCCAACGTATGGACTTAATTGATTTTTATATGTATTTATATTAGCATACATTAATGGTACAGGGGCTTTCATTGTGATATCACACAGCTGCATACAGTGCACTGTGACAAGTTCTCCCCTGTGTTGCGCTCCCTTATCCCCCCGCACTCCTCCCCCCTTATCAAACAGTGTGTGGTCAGTTTCATTACGCTCTCGCTCTCTTCATTATAAATCTGTAAAGTACTTTGATCTTCTTTGCCCCCCCAGCATCCTCTCCTTCCCCTCCCCCACCACGGATTCCCCCCGACAGTTCCCTTTACACTATGTCCCACTATTATCATCAGTTTAGGTCTAGATTCCACATATGAGTGAAAACATACAATAGTTAGCCTTTTGATCTTGGCTTATCTCAACATGACCAACATACAGTCTTTATAAAAGCATTTAACATTTTTTTTGTGGTAGTGGGATTTGAACTCAAGGCTTCATGCTTGCTAGACAGGTGCTCTACCACTTGAGCCATGACTGCACACTCCATAAACATGTTTTAAGAAGGCAGAACAGCTGGGTGTGGTGGTACACATCTGTAATCACAGCACTCAGGAGGCGGAGGCAGGAGGATGGAGCGTTCGAGGCTAGTCCTGACCACATAGCAAGATCCTTCCTAAAAAGTAAAATGAAAACAAAATAATTTTTTTTTTTTGCAGTGCTGGGGCTTGAACTCAGAGCCTACACCTTGAGACACTTCACCAGCACCGCCCCCCCCTTTTTAATGTTTTTTTCAAGAACTATTCGCCCAGGCTGGCTTTGAACCCAGGTCATCCTGATCTCTGACTCCTGAGTAGCTAGGATTACAGGCGTGAGCCACTGGCACCCAGCCAAAATGAATAATCTTTAAGATCTGAGTCACCGTAGTGGTAACTTGCTGTGTGTGTGTTTCGGCAGCCGTCAGGTGTCCACCATTTTCCACTCAGCCATGTGGGAATTCAGCCACCTGTGGCACAGACGCCATTTGTTAATTTGACTTGTAAACCAATCCTTTGAGCTGGGTGCTGGTGGCTCACGCCCATAATCCTAGCCACTCAGGAGCCAGAGATCAGGAGGATCACAGTTCAAAGCCAGGCCAGGCAAATAGTTTGTGAGACCCTATCTCGAAAACACCCTTCACAAAAAGGGCTGGTGGAGTGGCTCAAGATGAAGGCCCTGAGTTCAAACCCCAGTACCACCGAAAAAAATTATAAACTAATTCTTTGAGCTTTAATTTCCCATCAAGTATAAGACAAAAGAAGACCCAGATGCAGGTTAGCTTAGATACAGGAGGCGCTCACCAGGACAGTAAACCATTAGTAAGACAACCCATCAGGGCCATTTTTTTTTTCTTTTTGTTTTGTGGTACTTGGGTTTGAACTCAGGGCCTCACCCTTGCTAGGCAGGTGCTCTACCACCAACCCTCCACCAACCCCGGGGCCAAGATATCTTGTGGAAGAAGTAATCCGGAGACAAGACCACAGTTTCTGTACTTTTGGGTATCCTAGCAAACCCTTTTGTTGAGATGTTGGGTCGAGTCATTTTCACACAGTCTCTAGAGAACAAGATGAGAGGAATATTTTTGTGAGTTTTCCCCTGGACCCCTTGTCAGGTCAGATTATCAGGACTAACATGATTTAGAGCCCTTTCTCTCCCATAAAGATGTAGGGGAGTGGGGCATCTCCATCTTCCCCCCATTAATTTGACAGATATTTATGAAGTATTTCCTGTATGCCATAGATTGTATTACAAGAAATTTTAAAAGGGCCGGGCGCAGTGGCTCATGCCTGTAATCCCATTTTGGGGAGGTGGAGATTGGGAAGGATGGAGTTTCAAGGCCATCCTGGGCAAAAAGTTAGTGAGAGCAGTTAGTGATTTTTTTCTCTTTCAGAAGTGAGGCAGTAGTAACTGGCACTGTTGCATCTGAGCTGTGTGGCCTTGGGCAAGTGCCTTAACTTCTCCGTGTCCAGTTCCTCTGTGTCCTGATGTCAGGGTTGGCAGGGAATGTGGGGCAGGCCCATGGGTGAGGCGTGGCACTGGGGGGGCGGGAGGGTGCCGAGTGCCAACCATTGTCCACCATAGTCAAGGTCAGAGGAAGGAAGTGAGGCTAAGGTATGACGGTGGGGACTCATTACAGAATCATAAGGTGATCATAGGAACAGTAGAATAAAAAGCATGGTGGTGGTGTTTGGCAAAATCACCTTGATTTCTTACCGGGCAGCGTCCCACACTGGTTTTCTAACCCCTATGCATGAGTCACAGTCTGCCACCCCTTTTCAGGGCGACTCCACCCGCGCCCCAATCCAGTGTCCCTGGGCTCCGGGGCGCTGCCGTGGCTGGACTCCGCCGCCAGGGGGCGCCCGCCCGCTGTGGTTTCGCCCGCACACTCGGGTCCCCTGCAGGTGGCTTCCTCCAGGCCTCGCAACGCCCCAGGACCCCGTGCACTGAGGCTGGAAACCCTGAGCTCAAATAGGGTTCCCAGAGCAGAGCTGCAGAGTGCCCAGGCGACCAAATGGCATGTGACCCCTAAGACACCCATCCGTCCATCCCTCTGTCCTACAATGTCCACTGAATGCCCAACCCCAGCCCTCACCCCGCCCGAGCTCGCGTCCCAGTGCGCAGGACGCACAGAACCCAAAGGCGCCACCCGGACAGCACAGGAAGCCTAGGCCTGGGATCTAAGGGCCAAGCTTCGGTGCCCGTGGTCAGCAGGGCCACAGCTGGCTGTGTGACCTCGAGCGGCCTGCTTAGCCTCGCTGTGCCTCAGGTTCCTCTGCTGGTCAGGGGAAAAATAGCACCCACTGTGTAGGCTTGGGAGGTCTGCATGAGTGCATATTTGCAAAGCAAAAAAAAAAATTTTTTTTTTGCAGGACTGGAGCTTGAACTCAGGGCCTATACCTCGAGCCACTCCACAAGGCCTTTTTTGTGATGGGATTTTTCGAGCTAGGGTCTTGCCAACTGTTTGCCCTGGACTGGCTTTGAACCGCGATCCTCCTGATCTCTGCCTCCTGAGTAGCTAGGATTACAGGTGTGAGTCACCAGTGCCTGCCTAGGTTTTTAATTGTTTTAAATTCTCATTTAACAGCGATGAAAACTGAGGACCAATTGGGGGGCAGGGGTCTTGACACCTCAAAGCTGCATTCCCTCTTCCTCCCTGGGAGCGGAGTCATTTCTCTGTGCTGGGGTTCCTTCTTGGTAGGAGCTGATCCAGCTGCCAGTGCCTGGTCTGGGGCTGCAGACCCCCAGGTGACAGCTTCCAGTCTGGTTAAGTTTCCTTCCAGGACGCGCCCCAATTCTAGAATAAAGCAGCAGATTCCTGGGAAACGTAGGTCCAGGAGAGGCGGCCAGGCTTGGCGTTCCCTGAGCCACAGGGTGGGGTCCTGCCCTGCATGTCTTTCCCAAACAGCAAAGGCTGAACTTGGCAGAACTTGGGAGTCTCCTCATCTCTTTTCCTCTCCGTTCCCCTCTCC